ATGTGTTTATGCATCGGTCGGCGTATACGCATACATGTGTATAGGTGTGCCGATCTTTACAACCACGTATACACAAGTGTATACGTATAGCTGCATAGTAATATGTCTACGCACGTGTACGTGTATGTTAATGTTTATGTTTGTGTAACACTGCACATATATATACATATCTGTATGCGTGTACACAGGTATACATCTACGTATGTACTACTTGCATGTATGTAGCTATGTGATGGACATGTGTATGTATATTTGTATGTATGTATGCATGTATGTATGCATGTGTGCATGTATGTATATATGTATGCATGCATGTATGCATGCATGTAGGTATAGATGTATGTGTATATATATGTATGTATGTGTGTATGTATGTATGTATATATATATATATATATATATATATATATATAGGTTGGCCGGGCGGGTGGGTTGGGCCCAGACACTGGGCTCGCATGGGGCTCCAGGTGGCTCCGAGCCGCGGGACCAGCCCAAGATCGCCAAACATCATTTGGGCCCGTCTGCGTGTTTCGGAGATGCTCGGGAGACTATCAAATATCACATCCAGGCGGCTCCAGCAGCCTCCCAGACGTCCCGAGAAAGCTCCAAAGACGCCTCAAGAGCGCTCCAGGAGGACCTCCAAGAGGCAAACGTCCTCCCAATCCCGTAGGACAATTTGCATTTTCAGACATTGCTTCGGGGGTCTACACATAGTCCGCGACAGGCAAAGAGGCACCCGAGATCGCCCCAAGACAGACCACTAGGCCCTCAAGAGGTCCCCAACACAGCCCCAGAGGGCTCCCAGACAATCCAAGAGGGGCCCAAGACGGCCCAATGGGGCCCCCAGAAGCGGGAACTCCAACTGACTTTTCGGGCCCTCAACCCGAAGCGGACCCCCGAGACCGCCAGCAGGCCTCCAAGAAGCCCCAAATAGCTTCCAAAGAGGTCCAGAGGTATCAAAACTGTCTCCAAGAGCGCCCGAGAAACATGCCAAGAGTCCCCCAACAGGTACCCCAGAAGCCAGGCACGGTGGCGAGATGGGCCGAAATCCAGTAGTCCGCCGCCCCCTGCTTGCAGGGGTGCACGGCGTGCTGGATGTTTCAGGTTTTGGTTTTGGTTCTTTTTCTAAAAGAACTCCCTGGTGGGCTTCGGCCCGTCCCGCCGGCCACCCTTCCAGGACCTCAATTCCCCAATTTCCTGCCCCAGACGGCTCCAAGATGGCCTCCAAGACGGCCAAGATGGCCCAAGATGGCCTCCAAGATGCCTCCCAGACGGCCAAGATGGCCTCCAAGACGGGTAAGATGGCTCCAAGATGCCTCCAAGACGGCCCAAGATGCCCTCCAAGACGGCCAAGATGGCCCCAAGATGCCTCCAAGATGGCCCAAGAGGCCTCCAAGACGTTCTCCAGGAGAGCCCGAAGAGGCCAAAATCATTGGTTTTCCTTAGGTTTTTGAAGGTTTTTTGCGTTTTCTTCTTTTCGGCCTTCCGACGGCCCAAGAGGCCCCCAAGATCGCCCAAGAGGCCTCCAAGAAGGCCCTATGACGGCCCAAGGGCCCCCCAAGACGGCCCCAAGAGCGCCCCAAGACGGCCCAAGAGGCCTCCAAGACGCCCAACATGGCCTCCAAGACGGCCCTGAAGCGCCCCAAGAGGGCCCCAAGACGGCCCAGAGAGGCCCCCAAGACGGCTCCAGACGGCGTCAGACGGACCAGGAACGCCCTAAGACGGCCAAAGAGACCCCCAGGAAGCCCCCAAAGGCCCCCAAGAGGCCCAAGGAGGCCCCCAAGATGCCTCCAAGAGGCCTCGAAGAGGCCCCCAAGAAGCCCCCAACAGACCCCAAGGGTGCCCCAAGAGACTCCTAACAACCCTCATCCTCCTACTCTATTTCTTCCTCTTCCTCTTCCTGTTCATAATCATTCTCTCCCATGTGTTCCCCGAAAGCTTTCCAAACCGACTCGGGGAACTCATGGTCCGATAGCTTGGCCAAGCTCTAATCCAACTTTCGGCCACATCGGCGTTTCCAAAAAGGCAGGGGGCGGCGGTGATTCGCCGTATGCGTCTTCGATTCCGCCGCCCCCTGTCGATTCATCGCAGGGGTGCCTGGCGTGCTAGTTCCTTTCGGTTTTGGTTTTAGTTTTTTTCCAAAAGAACTCCCCCTGGCGCTTCGGCCCGTCCCGCCGGGGTCCCGGGAGGCTCTTCCAGGACCGCAGATTCCACGAAACATCCTCCCTGAAACGGCCGTTTCGCTCGGGACATCCTCAAACAATCGCGAAGATGGCCCAAGATGGCCTCCAAGTTCGCCCAAGATGGTCCAAGACCGCCCAAGAGAGTCCAAGACGGCCCAAGACGGCCCAAGAGGCCCCCCAGAGGCCCCCCCGACGGCGCAAGAGGCCTCCAAGCTCTAGGAGGGCCCGAAGAGGCCAAAATCATTTATTTCCCTTAGGTTTTTGAAGGATTTTGGAATTTGCTTCTTCTCGGCACTCCGACGGCTCAAGACGGCCCAAGAGGCCCCCAAAATCGCCCAAGAGGCCCCCAAGAGGGCCCCATGACGGCCCAAGTGGCTTCCAAGATGGCCCCAAGAGGGCCCCGAGACGGCCCAAGGGGCCTCCAACACGCCCAAGATGGCCTCCAAGACGCCCAAGATGGCCTCCAAGACGGCCCCGCAGCGCCCCAAGTGGGTCCCCCGTTGGCCCAGAAAGGCGCCCAAGACGGCTCCCGACGGCGTCAGACGTGCCAGGAATCCACCAAGATGGCCGAAGTTGGCTCGAAGCTGGCCAAAGATGGCCCAAGAGGCCCCCAAGAGGGCCTCCAGGAAGGCCAGAAGATGCCCAAAACATTGATTTTCCTTAGGTTTTTGTTGACGGATTTCGACATTTCCTTCTTTTCGGCCTTCCGACGGCCCGAGACGGCCCAAGAGCCCCCAAAGATCGCCGAGAGATCGCCCAAGAGGCCTCCAAGACGGCCAAGATGACCTTCAAGATGCCCACGTGTTCCCCGAAGGCTTCCCAAACCGATTCGGGGAACACATGGTCCGATGGCTTGGCAGGTCTGGCCTCAACCTTCGGCCATATAGGCGCTTCCAAAAAGGCAGGGGGCGGCGGTGATTTGCCGTAGGCGTCTTCGATCCGCCGCCCCCTGCGGTCTTGCCACAGGGGTACCCGTGTGCTGAATTTCGTATGGTTTTCAATTCTTTTAGGACTTCCCCTGGGGCTTCGGCCGATGCCGCCGGCCACCCAGAAGGCCGCGGCGCTCCACAAAATATGTTTCCACGAAGGCCATCAATGGCCTCCAAGACGGCCCAGATGGCCCAGGATGGCCCCCAAGTTGACACAAGATGGTCCAAGATGGCCTCCAAAACAGCCCAAGATGGTCCAAGATGCCTCGAAGCCACCAAGACAGTCCAAGATGGCTCCAAGATTGCCCAAGAGGCTCCCAACAGGCCCCCAAGATGCTTCAAATGCGGCCCAAGAGGCTTCCAAAAGGGCCTTCAGGACGCCCCGAAAAGGTGAGCATCATTGATTTTCCTGGGTGTTTGAAGGATTTTTGCCCTTGCTTCTTTTCGGCCTTCCGACGGCCCGAGACGGCCCAAGAGGGCCCTCAAGATCGCCGATCGCAAGAGACCTTCGAGATGGCCTCAGAAGGGCTCAACAGGCTCCCAAGATAGCCCCAAGAGGGCCCCAAGACGGCTCAAGAGGCCTCCAAGACGCCGACGATATCCGATGGCCTCCAGGACAGCCCTGGAGCGCCCCCGAGGGGCCCCAAGTCGGTTCAGGGAGGTCCCCGAGGCGACTTCCGACGGCGGCGGACGGGCCAGGAACGCCCTGAGACGGCCACAGAGGCCCCGAACAAGCCCACACATGCCCCCAAGAAGCCCACCTTGACAAGCATTGTCCACCGATGGCTTTGCGCTGGTTTCGACATGCTCTCGTGGGGCCGCGCGCGCGTGGCCAGCACTGTACCATTTGACACAGCTGGTGGGTGCGCGACGATTGTTACATTATCTCGACATGTGCGTGCGTGTGGCCTGCACGGCCCCATAGGGCAACATTCTGGAAAACAAGCTGGTTCGATGATTTCGACGAGTGCGCGTGCAAAGAAAGCTGGCATGTTTGATGGATCAAGTAAGTGTTTTCATGGCTGATCAAAGCGACGCTCCGCACAGTATTACTGGGCAGGGATGAGAGGATGCCGACAAGGGGCCTGGCTGGGATGGTACGAATGCTGGTTCAGGATGAGCGACCGCGCAGCATAGGTATGACAAGCCAATGCACGGAGGGGTCGCTCAGTCTGGTCCTGGCATGTGTGTCGAGCATGCTGCCCTTTGTGGAAAAAACCTACGTCGTGCAGGCTGTGTGGTGCAAGCTTTGTGGTGCAAGCTAGTCGTGTAATAAGTCTTATGCATCAGGCCACATTCCTCCTCCTCTTCCTCCTCCTTCTCCTTCCTCTAGATCGCTCGCCCGGGTAATAATTGTCACGGTTAGCTCCTTTCGTTAGCGTCTGTCTCTATAAGGGGTCAGGCCTTTTTCGCCAAGGTCGGTGCTTCCAGCAAGCAACAGCAGTTTCGTGGCAACACCACTGGAGCCTCGCGGTTGTTCTCCGTCCTTTTCCCTCCCCCCCGCAAGACAACATCACTCGGTGTATGAGGCAACGCCAGCCAGCGCACGAGACGGCCGCGCGGCAAGCCACGGGCGACGCCGAACACCCGGAAGAGCCAGCCGGCGCACCTCGTCACGCGCGGAGGGCCTTTGAAGACTTCCGCAGACCTCCGGTGCACCTCTCCGAAACTCTCCGAGGGGCCTCCGAGTCTATCCGCCGCCCCCACCGCGCCACTAGAGGGGCCGCATGCGAACCCTACCCCTACCCCTCGCGATTTCTGAAGGGGATGGTGGGGTTCACTTCGCTCGGGAGCTCCCGAACGAAGTGAACCCCACCCTCCCCCGCAGAAATCGTGGGTGGTAGGGGTAGGTTCGCATGTGGCCCCCTAGCCGCGCTGCGGCCCGCAGCTCACCGCCTCCGCCATCGCGGCGCAAGCGGAGATCGACGCGGTGAAGGACGCGCTGTGGAAGAAGCACGAGGACGGCGGGCCGCAGGGCGGCGGAGGTGAGGAGAGCGAGGAGGGGAGGGACGGATGATGGGGGGTGGCGGCAGGGCCTGAGGGCGTCCACAAGCAACCTCTTCTCCCCTCGCTTTTTCTCTTCAATATGTACCCTCTCTCCTGCTCCTTGTGCCCTTCTGTTCGTCTCCTCTCCTTCTCTCTTGCCTCTTCCTGTTGCTCCTATTCCTGAGATCCTTTGTAGCGGCTCCTCTGCGTTTGTGTCGTCGCCGTCGTCGTCGTCGTCGTCGTCGTCGTCGTCGTCGTCGTCGTCGTCGTCTGCGCGACCCGTAGCGCTTATTGCAGCCAGAGCCCAGGGGGTACAGGGATGTCGAGAAGATGCAGTACTTCAAGGCGTCGCTCTTCCGCGCAACTTCCAGGAGGCATGCGCGCGCTCCCTCCTCGGCTGCCCGCCCGCCCCTCCAGGAAGCGTTCGAGGCGGCGGACAAGTTCCAGGAGACCGACGCCTCCTGGGTCGCCACCAAGTGGGAGGTCCGCCGGCCTTTGCCTGCAGCGGTGGTCATTCCAGCAGCCTGGAGTCGAAGACGACAGAACGCCATAAACGTAAACTTTGGGCAGGGAGCGCCAGACGTTTTAAACGTTTCTGTTTATGGCGTTTTTTTTGTTGAGTGGGCGTGTAGGGAGCAGCATCCATTGTGTCGTGTCCACCATGCTTGGGTGCTGTGACATCTGTGGATCTTCTGGCTGTGGCCTCAGGTGGTGATTCCGCTCTCGTGGTCGCTTGATGCAGTGGCGCGCCGCCGACGCGCCCGTCGAAGTGGCGGCGCCAGCTTGTGAAGTTTTGTGAAGATGGTCTCTTTGTGTTGCTCGTCATCACGGCGATGACTTCACTGTGTTTGCCATCATCTTTGGTCTCGCGGGATCAGTCGGAACATCTCCAGGTGGCAGAAGCTGTGTGTGTGTGTGGGCCTTGGTCTAGAGGAGTTGTCTCGCTTGTTGCGCCGCGTAATCGTGCTTTGGGGTGTGCCCAGCGTGCCTCGCTGCGTGGCATAGCAGTTTCCTTTCGTGACGTGTACGCCGTCGTGCGCACTGCTTCTGCCACTACCACTGCCGCCCCCCGCGGAGTCGCAAGACCGTCATTCATGAGACTGCCGCCGTGTTCCGAAGGTCAACACCGGATCCCCTGGAGGCTGCTCCTGGATGTGCCTTGAGAAGGCACGAGCCAGACGCTGCAGCCAAGACTCAGGGGGGGAAAAACATACAGACAAATGAATCGTCGACTCCAAGAAAAAAACATGGGAAAATATGGGAAGTGGGGGGGAAGACAAAAACCCAGAAAATGTGGGAAGATACGGGGAATCCTGTTGTTTGTGCCTACCTCTTTGTGTGTCCCAGGGCCCCTGCAGAGACGCCGGAAGAAGGCACGGCCCGGGCTCGGAAGGGGCCCGCTGCTCCTTCGGGTCCTTCCCTGGTGGTTCCTCCTGGCGCTCCTCGTGCACCCAGGCGCGCCTGGGGGCCCCCAAACGGGGGCTCCGTCTCCGATTCCTCTCCTCCCGGAGCCGGGAGTCTGACGGCAGGGCTGCGACGCCGTGCCGGCTCATTCTCCTGTCGCCCTCATCTGCTCGATTGCGCCGGCGGTGCGCATGAGGCGGAGGAGATGCCAGGGGTGCGCGACATGGTGGAGGCAGGATGTTGGTGCAAGGGGAGGTGAGAGGACCACAAGGGGGAGGATAAGACAGGACCACAAGGTGAGAGGACCACAGATCAGGGGCAACGGTAAGGGGGGATAAGATAGCCCCACCCCGCCCAGCACCGTGTGGATCTGCTATCAGCGGGCCAATCGTTCTCTCACCTTCGGCCGCCGAAAACCACGCCCGTCCTTCCTCTTCCCGATCCACTTCCTCCCCCTCGCCTTGCTGCTGCTGCTGTTGCTGCTGTTGCTGCTTTTGCTGCTCCTGCCCCTGGGTACCTGAAATTCTATGTGTTTTTGTGGGTGGGTTCGTCTCAAAGTCTTCCGTTGCAAGGACCGATCCTAGTGCACTGCCACTGTAGCCCAATCAGACGCGCACCAGAGATTTGTTCGTTCTTTCGCTCGTTCCCTTTTCCTTCCCCTTGCTTCCAATTTCGTCGCGCAGTGGACTTGCAGGGGGAAGTGGCGATGGACTTCTCCTTGCGCCCCAGCTGCCTCCCTCCTCCTGCTCCCACCCTCCCCTTCCCTCTGCATGCCCCTCGCGCGCCGCCAGGGCTTCGCGCGGCCCACCGACCCGTCCACCAGGGACCCGACTGGTGCAGACATCGAACTCCTCAGGAAGATTGGCGCCCGCTTGTGCGAGGCGCCGGCGCCCCCCGCGCCCCCCGAGGTTGATGCAGCGCTGAATGGGGCGTCGCGCCGCTCTCGATCTCTGTGGGTGGGGACTCCCCGAGGTGGCACACGACTTACTACCTCCGCCATCCGCGGAGGGAGGGGGAGGAGGCGGAGGAGGCGGAGGAGGAGGAGGAGGAGGAGGAGGAGGAGGAGGAGGAGGAGGAGGAGGAGGAGGAGGAGGAGGAGGAGGAGGCGGAGGAGGAGGGGAGGGGAGGGGGAGGAGGAGGAGGAGGGGAGGGGAGGAGAGGGGAGGGGAGGGGAGGGGAGGGTGGGGTGGGGAGGGGAGGGGAGAGGAAGGGGGGGGGGTGGAGGGGAGGGGAGGGGAGGGGAGAGAGGGAGGTAGGAGGAGAAGGAGGCGCCCGAAGCCATTTCGGCTCAAGGTTTTGGGTTTCCTGCGAACCGCAATGGTGCCGCTAGTCCGCGGTCAGTCAGCAGCGATTCGCCAGGTCAGGCCCCTAGCAGAGCGCTGTTCTCCCCAGCTTGTGCATCCCTCTCACTTGCTTCGGCTCGCGGGTCAGACGGACGGACGTTGGTCTTGTCACAGCTGTGCGTGCCGCTTTTCGTGTCGCACGTGCGGCCCAAGAGGCCCGCCGTCGCCGAGTTCACGGCGCCACGCGGATTTTTGGGCGAGCGGCCACCCAGGCTCGAGCGCGAGCACGGCGGCCGCGCCAACGCCTCGTACGCCGAGGCTACAGTGCTGGTTTTAATACATGCTCCGCGTGCGGATCATGTATAACATATGCAGGGATTTAGCATTAAAAACAAAGATGAGTTCATGCATAAATTTGTTCATACATTAATCATGTATTTAAACTCCTATATCTTAAACATCCAAAGTATGAAAAACTGCCCTGTACCATCTACGCCGCGATGGACCTTCACGAATTTGAGCTCGTCAGGGAGAGCTGGCGCCCTCGGGCCCTTGGGCGTGTGCCGGCGGCTCGTGCAGCCAGGCAGCGTGAACCCACGGAACGTTCCAAGCAGGCCTGCATCGGGCAAGACTCAGGAGAGGAAAAAACACACAGACACAATTCTTTACGCTTCGCGTATCCCCACCAGCCCATCTCACAGCAGCAACTCTCGCGAAGCATGCCGACAGTCGTGTTTTTCAGGCGTGTGTCCGCTTGGCCCCGCATATCTCCCCTGTTCCTCCTTCCTCCCGCCTCCTTGTACATCCTCCTTGTGAGGGGAGCGGGAGAAGGACGAGGCGGAGGAGGAGGGAGAGAAAGCGCTCCTCGTGATTTGAGTCGTTTGGGGTTTCTCGTCCTGGTGTGAGTCGTTCGGGCCCTTCTTCCTGGTGTGAGTCGTTCGGGCTCTTCGTGGTGTGAGTCGTTCGGGCTCTTCGTCCTGGTGTGAGTCGTTCGGGCTTCTCGTGGTGTGAGTTGTTCGGGCCCCTCATCCTGGTGTGAGTCGTTCGGGCCCCTCCTCCTGGTGTGACTCGTTCGGGCTCCTCGTGGTGTGAGTCGTTCGGGGCCCGCGTCGTGGTGTGAGTCGTTCGGGCTCCTCGTGGTGTGAGTCGTTCGGGCGCCTCGTCCTGGTGTGAGTCGTTCGGGCCCCTCCTTGTGGTGTGAGTCGTTCGGGCTCTTCGTGGTGTGAGTCGTTCGGGCCCCTCGTCCTGGTGTGAGTCGTTCGGGCTCCTCGTGGGGCCTCTTGGGGGCCTCTTGGAGCCTCTTGGGGCCTCTTGGGGGCCTCTTGGGGGCCTCTTGGGGGCCTCTTGGGGGCCTCTTGGGGCCTCTTGGGGCCTCTTGGGGGCCTCTTGGGGGCCTCTTGGGGGCCTCTTGGGGCCTCGTGGGGCCTCTTGGGGGCCTCTTGGGGGCCTCTTGGGGGCCTCTTGGGGCCGCTTGGGGGCCTCTGGGGGGCCTCTTGGAGGCCTCTTGGGAGCCTCCTGGGGGCCTCTTGGGGCCATCTTGGGGCCTCTTGCGACCTCCTCAGAAGCGCAAGTGAGAGCTGCCCCCTGAGAAGGACAAAATGAGCCCAAAACCTTCGTTAAATCAATGATTTTGCTATGAGGGAAGATGAGCGCGGCCCCCTCAGAAGGCCAAAACGGGGCCAAAACCATAGTAAAATCAATGATTTCTGCTTCAAAGACGAGCAGAGGGGCCAAACTCCCTCCCCCCGTCGGGGCCAGAATCCTCGTGAGGGTCGTCGTTTTTTTGGCCCTCCGAGAAGTCGAAATGGACCCCCCCTGACACCACCCCGGACTCCCTGTCCAGGTCCAGGGGGAGGGGGTAGGGGGAGGGGTAAACCCCTCCCCGAAGGGGAAGAAGGGGGGTTGAGGACAGAGAGAGCTCTCTAAACCACTCACGCCCAAAGGGCTGGTGGGATTAATCCTCGATTCCTCAGAAAATATGGGAAAATATGGGAAGTGGGGGGGAAGACGAAAACCCAGAGAATATAGGAAAATATGGGGAATCCTCTTATTTGTGTGTTTTTATTTGTGTGTCCCAGGGCCCCTTCAACTCTGTCGCTCCCAGTCCACGTCTGATCGCGCCAAGGCTACCTTGGCAGCGGCCCTCAGGTCAGTCGCCAATGCAGCAGCCGAGCTCGAAGAGGCCAAGGCAGCAGCCAGCGCAGCCGCCGCGCAGGCAGCCAAAGCCTTCAGTAGGCTCGCCCCGCCATCTCAAGACGCTGGAGCCACTGCTTTCCACGCTTGGGCCACGGGGATCCGTGAGCAGCCGACGCGAGAAGATCCGTCAGCCATGGAGAAGCTTGAGAAGCTTCAGCACCAGCCGGACCAGATGGCTAAAGACCTTGGCTACGGTCACCCACTTCCTCCTCCCTGCTGCTCCTGCAGTCGCCGCCGCTTCCGCAGCTGCCAGCAAGAGTCACGGGGGGTCGACAAGCCAGTCCCCATGGACGTCGAGATCGGTTCCCTGCTGCGAGACCCTGCTCGTCGCGCCGCTGGTGCTCCCTGGCCACGTGCTCTCCCCCGCCTGCCCCGTGCTCGGGCCGTCCTGCCAGGACAGCCCGTGTTTGTCAGGGCTCTCCCGGAGGCCTCGCGACCCCCGCCCTCCCTAGAAGGTCAGAGGGGGAGAGGGCGCCCGTACCGCTGAGTTTCCCTCGTTTTCCCCTTTTTGCGCCTCCTGGGGGCCCTCGTCGCCACCGCTGGGTTCGCCTCGAAATCCTGGTCGGGACGCGCCCCGGGAGGGGTCCAGGGCGTAGTGCTATCGGTACCTTTTGGTCTGCGTTGTTTGGGAGGAGTCTCAGGTGTGGCGGCGGGTCTCGGCCCGACGCCCGCGGTCGCGCTCCCCAACACACCCGTGGACCAGCGGGAGATCGCGCGCGTTTTAGCGCAGGTGTGACAGCTCCCTCCCCCAGCTCGCGGTGTACACTGGAGAGACCACCGCGACTGAGGTGGGCAATCAGTGCATCGTCCAACTCTCGGGCATTGGGGCCCATAAGCTTAGCCTCCCTGTCTGCACTGCCTCCCTCTTCTCCTCTTCATCCTGTTTCTTTTCCTCGCTTCTGTCTTTGTTTTCCTTGCCCTGCCTTCTCCTCCCCATTCGCCGGCGCTTCATCCACCACCTATTCGTGCCCCCACGAAGCCGCCAGGTGCCAGAGGGCTTCAAGTTGCACCCTGGACTCAAGAGGCAGTTGGCCAAGAAGAAGCAGGCGCTCCTCCCGCCCCCGCCCGATGCCCGATTTTCGCTGTTATGCAGTGTGTCGACGCGCTCACTTCCGCACATGCGCTCACGGACTTGCGAAGGTCGCGCCGCGGTGGACCAGGCTGGCGTCGTAGCGCTGTGCATTTGTTGCTTCAGTCTGGGGGGGTGTCCGACGTGGTTCGTCGGACAATTCTGTTACCTTCCCTGCTGTGTGAATCTCGCACGCCGCACCTCCAACAAACATGCGGAGGGCGCACACGCCGTGCCAGGGCCCAGCCACGGGACGCATCGACCCGAATCGCCCATTCATCGCTGATGCGGGCCCGATGGCCCGCTCAGCCCAGGCACGTGCGGTTTCGCTATCGGGGGCCAAAGCCCAGAACCCCCTGATCATTGCCTCCTGCTGCTGTTCCTCTTCCGCCTGCCCCCCTCCTTCTGCATCCCTGCTTCCTGCCCCTCCCCCTCCCTCCTCCGCACCTCTTCCGCCATGAACCCCGTACGGAAGTGCCTGGACAGTTTCGAACGACGCCCCAGAGTCCTTGCCACCGAGAGACCCTCCAGTATCGTCCTCCCGCAGAGTGTCCCAAGCCTTCCCTCCCTCCCTCCCTCCCTCTCTCCCTCCCCGTTGTTCCCGCTGCCAGGACATCGACCAGGGCGTTGCGATAGACTGGGCGACGGCCGAGGCAATGGCCTTCGGCACCCTGCTGCTGGAGGGCAACCACGTCAGGCTCACCGGACAGGACCGAGGGCAAGGCCAGAGGATAGAGGTGTTTGGAAAAGCGCGGAGAGGAACGTGGACGCTGTCGGTCATCATTCCGTTCCCGAGACGGTTGCTTGGTATGAGTTTGTAATTGGTGCTGTTTCGTTCGGGCAGGGATGATGGTTGTCGCGGCCAGTGGTCATTTTCTTTGTTCCTGAAGTTTCTACCTGAGGGTGGTGGGAGGGGGAGGACGACGGGTCGATTATAAGGATGATGATTACGAGTGTTGTTGATCTTTCATGTATGAGGAATGATCAGAGTCACTTCGCGTAACCCAACCAGCCCATCCATGATACCGGAGAAACAACCCAATTATTTGTTAAAGAGCTTTAGGGCTATACAGGGCTATCTGGTTATAGGGCTATGTAGAGCTACCGGGCACCTGGGCACCTGGGCACCTGGGCACCCTCAGGCACCCGGGCACCCGGGCACTTGGGCACCCAGGCACCGGGGCACTCGGGCACCCGGGCACCCGGGCACCTGGGCACCCCCGGGCACCCGGGCACCCCCGGGCACCCGGGCACCCGGGCGTGCGGCGAAAATCGGCGGCAAACCTAACTTAACCATCTGAATCCGCTAGGACCCCTACAGAGGCAAGCTCTGATTGGGGAATAAACGATGCCCTGACGAGTTGCGTTGATCCCAGAGCTCGACCCAGACCTCCCTCACGTTTTTGAAGGATTTGACGTCCTCGCCTTTGGAGTTCCCATCGCTTCAAAATGATCAGAAGCCTCGAAGAGGGTTCGAAGACTCCCAAGGAGAGCCCCAGGACAGCCCAGAAGCCTCCAAGATTGCCTCAGAGACTTCCAAGACGGCCCCAGAGTGCTCCAAGAGAACGCCACGACAGGCACCGAGTCTGCCAGGAGGCCCCCAACAGGCCCTTCAGAAGTGCGAAGGGACCCCAAGAGGCCCCCAGACGTCCCTCCGTCGCCATTTTGGCTCAAGCGATTCCGATCGAGGCTGTCACATCACGCGGCGGCCTTGTGAGTTGTCACCCCCTGTCAGACTTCAACTCGATCAAGGAGCCCATCCAACACAATGCGTGAGGCGATCTGCATCCACATTGGGCAGGCGGGTGTGCAGATTGGCAATGCATGCTGGGAGCTTTTCTGCCTTGAGCACGGTATCCAGCCTGACGGCCAGATGCCCTCTGATAAGATGATCGGAGGCGGCGACGATGCCTTCAACACGTTCTTCTCCGAGACTGGCGCCGGCAAGCACGTCCCCCGCTGTGTGATGGTCGACCTAGAGCCCACTGTGGTCGATGAAGTACGCACGGGTACATACCGTCAGCTGTTCCATCCTGAGCAGCTCATCTCCGGCAAGGAAGACGCCGCGAACAACTTCGCGCGAGGCCACTACACCATCGGCAAGGAGATCGTCGACCTCGTCCTGGATCGGATCAGGAAGTTGGCCGACAACTGCACTGGCCTCCAGGGCTTTATGATCTACAATGCCGTCGGCGGAGGCACCGGCTCTGGGCTCGGTTGCCTGATGCTGGAGCGCTTGTCTGTGGACTACGGGAAGAAGACGAAGTGCTCTTTCACTGTGTGGGCGTGCCCGCAGGTCGCCACGGCAGTGGTGGAGCCCTACAACACCGTTCTCTGCGTGCACTCCCTCCTGGAGGGGGAGGAGGAGGAGGAGGAGGAGGAGGAGGAGGAGGAGGAGGAGGAGGAGGAGGAGGAGGAGGAGGAGGAGGAGGAGGAGGAGGAGGAGGAGGAGGAGGAGGAGGAGGAGGAGGAGGAGGAGGAGGCAGAGGAGGGCGAGGAAGGAGAGGTAATGGCAGAGCAGAGGTCGAGGGACAGGACGCTGCCGACGAGGAGCTGGACGACTGGCTGCCCCCGGTCGTCGCGACACCGCAGAGGTCGGTTGTCGTGACACCGCAGAGGAGCAAGAGGCGGAGGAGGTGCGAGGAGTTTTCGGATGCAGCGGGGAGGGCTTGCGGAGGTGCTGAGCCAGCCAGTGCGTGGAGCACGAGGAGTAGAGGAAGTATGGACTCTTGGATGCCAGGCCCCAGCAGCACGGTGAAGCGTGCCACCCCCGCCAGCGCCAGGAGCGTCGGCACCGTGGACTCTTGGCTGCCGCTCCGCAGGGAGGAGAGGGGCAGCGTGCGGTGTTGCAGGCGCAACCCCAGAGATGGACTGGACACCTGGGTGTGCAAGCTGTGTGATGAAACAGTCACCGCGCCCAAAGGCGCCTCCCGCTATTTGGGGATAAAGAAGAGTGTTCGCTTCGCAGAGATAGTCTTGCAGCGCCGCCGCCACCTCCAGCGATGGCATCAAGGGGAAGATTGGTCGATGGCGGGCTCCCTGAAGAAACCCGCTAGGCTGCCGCCGAGGGTGCGACGCAAGGTGCCGCTGACGCAGCAGGAGTTTCATGAGATGAGAAGCAATGCGGCCAAGAAGCGGCACGCGAAACGGCGGGAAGAAGCGAGGAGGAAACGCGAGGAGGAGGGAGACACGCGCGACCACAAAGGCCACAACATCCGAGACGTGGTCACAGAAAACGCCAGGAACCACACTGGCTGGACGCGGCGCCTGCTGACTTGTGGCAAGTGCCATGGAGCGTGGTGGGGCGATGCGACCGCCAACGTGGCTGGTGGGCAAGCCTTGATGCAGTTGACCGCGCGCTGGTGCGACGGAGCTGGGCTGAGCATGCCGAGCAGCAGCCGACTACCGCGGCGTGGAGGAAGATTGACGAGGCCGCCGAAGCGCTCACAGCCAGAGCAGACGCTGGGAGCTTCACGGCGGCGGAGAAGGAACGCAACAAGGTCAAGTGCCGCGCCATGGTGAAGGCTGTGTGGGGCCCTGGGCAAGATGTTGCTGACCGCCGAGGCCCGGAGTACTCGACGTGGCTGGCGGCGCGCTGTGGTTTGCACAAGGTGGACCGCCCTGAGACGGTCATGAGGAAAACCGTAAGGAAGAGGCAGAAACACAAGGACAAGGCCCGGACGACTGGACCAGGCCGCTGCTGAGGCGGAGACGGGCGCAGGCTTGAGCCGAGGACGGACAGCAGAGGAGGCCGAGGAGGAGGAGGAGGAGGAGGAGGAGGAGGAGGAGGAGGAGGGGCGAAACGCAGACAGGAGGCGGAAAAGAGAGGGGCAGGTCGAGGAGGAGGAGGAGCCTGAGACAAGCAGGAGGCGAATTGCAGCAGAGGAGGTGCTGGAGACAGGCACGAGGCCAATTGGCGAGGAGGCAGAGGGGCAGCAGGAGACGGCAGGACAGCTGGGGCGCAGCGAGGAGCTGGAAACGCTGGGGGTCCTTCTGGGGACTATCAATGTCGCCAGCTGGTCTAAGCATGGCCTGGCGGCTTTCCAGGCAGCCGGCGCGCACGGTGCCGACGTCTTGTTTGTCCAGGAGCACAAACTCACGAGGCAAAGAATGCGCACGGCGCAGCGGCTGGCTGCAAGGAGGAGCTGGCACCTCGTAGAGGGCACGGTGCTAGACGACACTCAGGGCAATAATGGCCGTGATTGGCACAATTACGGCGGCCTCGCGTGCGCCACGAGGGGCACATGGAGAGCTGAACGGCTGTGGCAGAAGAGGGAGATAGGAGGAGAGGTTGCGGTCTTTCGTGTGCGCAGTGGCAGGCAGATGCTGCACGTGGGGGTCGTGCATCTCCGGCGCAACAACCCGGTCCAGGCGCGCCGAGGATTGCTCCTGGGTCTGCGGGAGTGCTTCGCCAGGCTCGGAGGTGCAGCTGTGCTCGGCGGCGACTGGAATGTGGAGGCCTCGGAGGGCATCCTCGGCGTTTTGACTGGGGATGGCCAGTGGCAGCCTGCAGTGCCGCAGTCGTCCACGATGGCAGGAGGCAGCGATGCCAGGAATGACGACTTCCTGGTCCAGGGCGTGGTTGTCGGCGAGGCAGTGGCGCACTGTGACCAGATTGCGGACCACAGGTTGGTCACGATGGGGCTCAAGGTGTGGGCCGAGGAGGAGGCTGAGGGTTGGGCTTGGCGGCGCGCGGCGAGATATGGCGTCAGTACCAGACCACGCGCCAACATGGGCGATGAAGACGACGGCTGGCTCGCGAGCGCCCGGCCACCTCGTAGTCAAGGCCCCGTGGCCGAGGAGGGCGATGCCGCTGCTGAAGGAGAACGTGGGGCTGAGCACGAGGAAGAGGAGGAAAACGAGGAGGAGGCGCGTGAGGCAGCCCGGCGCTGGCGGACGTGCCACAGCCGCGAGGAGGAGGAGGAAGAGGAGGAGGACGCAGGCACCGCCGAGGACCTCTGGGGGAAGTGGTCCCGAGGAGCAGAAGCTTTTCTGCGAGGTGAGCACAAGGTCCTTACTGAAGGAACGGGCTACAAGGGAGACCGACACCTGGTGCACTGGCAGCGCCCGGAGAGCCAAGAGGCGGGCTCCGTGCAGGCGCGGCGCGAGAGGCAGCTGAGGGAACTCATCGCCGTGTCGGAAGCCGTGCAGGAGCGAAGGGGGCCGCGGGCGCGTGACGGAGCGACCCAGGCGCTATCGCGAAAGAGGGCGTACCTTCGGCGGAAACTTGGGCTGCCGCGGGCCGTTGGACCAGATGACGCACAGGACCTGCACAGGAAACTGCGGGAAGCAGTGGAGGTCAGCAGGGACGAAAGGATCAAAGTGTGGCACGAGAGTATACGCGAGGACAACCTGCGGAAGCGGACGTACAAATGGATCAGGACTCCGGCGCAGAGCTGTGGTGCCGCCGTGTACGACGCGACCGAGCAGAGACAGTATTCGGGGCAAGCTGCGGTGGAGAAGCTCCGTAGTTTTTTATCACGGCCATTTCAGTAGCGCAGGGTCTGGGAACCAACCCGAGGAGTACATGCTGCACTACGCAGAGGAGGTGGAGGAGGCGAAGGAGAAAATCCAGCAGGCGGTGGCGCAGGAGGACCGCCATCGTCAGCACATCTACGCCATGCTCGGCCACAGTGATTTGCGCTGGGGAGCCTCATCAGCAGGCAGCGTGCGGCGGCTTTTGAGGACGATGGCAGGCACCGCGGCTGGCCAAGACCAGTGGTTAGCGAGCGAGCTGCTCCTCCTGCCTGACCTTGCTTACGATGACCTGGTGGATCTGTGCCTTGGCTTCGAGGCGGGAGGCTGGCCCCCGAGCCTCAAGAGGTGGAGGCAAACCCACATCCCGAAGGAGAGCGACAGCATCCCGAAAGTGGACCGCATGAGGCCCATCGCCATCGCCAGCACGGTGGTAAGAATGTGGCGCAAACACCGAGCAGAGCAGATCGCAGAGTTCCTGGAGCCGGCTTTCGAGGCGGACCAAGCTGGCGGCCTGCGCCAGAGAACGCTCGAGGGGCTCCTGGAGGGCACGCTGACGGAGGTCGAACAAACGATGGTCGCCAACAGGATCGCGGGCACCCCTGCGTACGACCTCCTGAGCGAAGACGACAAGCAGAGAGTGGACAGCAAGAAGGGCGCCCTCTACGGCTCCTCCTGGGACTTCGAGAGCGCCTTCGACAGGACGGATCCAGTGATTGTAGGACGCATCTGGGAAGAGTGTGGTGTGCCCCATGGCATCGTGGATGGCATCGTGGACATACGGTGCAACCAGGAGCGGTGGATTGAGAGTGCCGGCCTAGTCGCTAGTGAGCCCATCGCGGTTTCACGGTCGTTGCCGCAAGGAGACCCTGCCAGCATGCTTGGCATGGCCACCGTGCTCATGCCGCCGACGTGCCGCATGAAACGGAGGGTGGCGACGGCCACGTGCTGCGTGTACGCCGACGACCGCACGGCCTGCACGAGGAGCCTGGAGGACACGCAGGAGGTGGAACGGCACTGGGGGGAGCTGGAGCAGCTTGCGGCGCTGCGGACGCACCTGGGCAAGACCCAAGGGTTCGTCGTCTCCGCGGACGTGCGCGACGCCGGCGAGGACCGCGGCGCCGACAGAGGTGGAAGCCGAGGGCGTACCGGCGCTTCGCGAGGAAGAGCTGGGCGGCGAGGCGGAGGAGGTAGAGGGGGGGGCGAGGGGGAACAGGGGCAGGGGGAGGCGCCAGAAGCAGCTTCAAGGTTCTCGGTGTCGACTTCTCCTTCGACGAAAGGGAGCTAACGCCCAGGGAGATGGGGGAACTCAAGGCAGGCATTGAGAGGCTGCAGAGGATTGCCAAGCCACCGCTGGGCTGGCGGGCAAGGAGGCGCGCGGTGGCGACGGCAGCCGTGCCCCTGATGGCGCGGGGGCTCGTCGCGGCCCTGCCGCAGGAGGCGCAACTGATGGAGGTGCGACGGGAGGTGAGGAGAGCAGTGTGCGGCAGGAGGTGGCCCTCTGCGTCGGTGGAGCTCCTGCATCTCCTAGCGGTGGGCCACTACGGCGACCTGCGGTACCACCTGGCGGACAGACGTTGGGCCTTCCACCAGGCCAGGGGGAGGGGGCAGGGCACGGAGGAGGAGCTGGCATGGCAGAGGCTGGTGGAGGTGGCGGACAGTTGCGGCCCGACGCGCTGCCTGCAGCGACACCTAGAGGCAATGGGCTTCCACAGGGGCACTTGCGCGGGCGATTGGAAGCATGGCGAGGGGCACTTGCGCATCGACGACCGCAGGGGCAGAGCGGCGCACGTGCTCCGCGAGGCCTGGCGGCAGGAGCGCTGGGGCGCCTTCAAGGCCCGAGGGGCGACGAGACGTGGCGGCAGATTAGCTGTGGAGGAAGGCGTCGCCTTCGATGAAAGAGCCTTCCACGTCGCGACGGAAGTGCTGCAGTCAGGCGCGCTTGGCAGCCATGCGCTGGCCGTGCTCGCCGGGGCCATGTGGAGCGATGCCAGTCTGGATGTGGCGATGGGCAGAGAGCCGCGCCCGTGCAGCGATTGCCCGAGTGGCGAGGTGCCAGACGTGGTCCACCATTGGTGGCGCTGCGACAGGTGGGCCGGCAGGAGGAGAGGTATTGCCACGCCGCGGAGCGCGCTGGCCAGACGGATGGGATGGCCAGAGGTGGCGCTCCAGGGCGCAGACGCCCGCCGGGCATGGCGGAAGCAGCTCGAGTACATGGCTGGCGTGCGCCAGAGCCTCGTCGAGGACCGTTGCCGCGGAGGCAGGCCCAGCCTTGGCGGAACGTGGCAGATGATGAGGATGGAGGAAAATGCCTAAACAGGCAGAGAGGTAGAGGCAGCGGCAGTGAGAGGAGGAGGAGGAAGAGGAGGAGGAGGAGGAGGGCGAGGCGGTCAACATGGGGGCGTGGGGGGGAGGAGGAAGACGAGGAGGGCGAGGCGGCGGGGAGTTGGAGGAGGTGGAGGAGGAGGAGGCAGCTGGAGGGCTGGGCATATTCAGCCGGCCAGCAGGTTTAGGCAGAAATTCCACCCGGCTTAGGCTTGTGCCGTCAAACAAGCCGCCAGCGTGCCGCGGCATGCTGAGGCCAGTTTCGCTGGCTTGGTTTTCCCCATGTATGACAACGAGGCCTTGTGCGATTTATGCCGCCGCAACCTTGACATCGAGCGCCCTACTTACACCAACCTCAACAGGCTGCTGGCGCAGATCATCTCCTCGCTGACTTCGTCGTTGCGCTTCGACGGTGCTCTGAACGTGGACGTCGCCGAGTTCCAGACGAACTTGGTGCCCTACCCACGCGTCCACTTCGTGCTCTCCAGCTATGCACCCGTGATCTCCGCGGAGAAGGCGTGCCATGAACAGCTTTCAGTGGCGGAGATCACCATGTCCGTCTTCGAGCCCGCATCCATGTTCGTGAAGTGCGACCCTCGTCATGGCAAGTACATGGCATGCTGTGTGATCTTGGCGGCGCTCCCACCTCCTACGGTCCCTGCGGTGCCAAGGGAAACGCCCACCTCTGAACCAGGTTATTCGAAGAAGCTGTCGAGCATCAGGGGGGCGGCGAACGGGAGACAGTATTGGCACTGGTTGTCGAGCGAGTCAGCGGAGTGTTCCGAGACGGCACTCCCGGACGAGACCGTGCCTCACCATCCAAGCCTCGCGACGCAGCACTCGATTCGTCTCGTTTCTCAGTGCGTCGCCTGGCTCCGGACGCGTTCGTCCAGACCCGGAGGTTGCACAGGCGCTCTCATCAGCGTGTGCTGCATGGGGAATTAAAGATTGCTACGAAGAATTGCCCACATCTTAACCCATGGCGGCATGACAACAAATTCAAATTGCGACAACTTGTTCTGGAAGCGCGCCATGGGCTCTGGCACGTGGGTCTTCTGTCTGATATGGCTTCTCGAGGCGCGTCGCCTCAGGTTTCAGTTGTGTGTGTGTAGTAGAGTACGTGCTGGTGTTGAGAGGTCGTGTTGGGATTTTACTTGATCAGTGTATGGCCCGGGCGTGGCGGGATGCAGGTGCCCGGGCGCTGTTCCACGGTGACTGTGATCGTCTTCTGGCTGTCCCACTTCGCCTCCATGGCCAGATGTATGCTCTTGGGGCCGCTTATTTTCCAACCCAGGCTCCAGATCATGCTGCAGAGCGTCGTGCCACCTGCGAGGCTGCGACTACGTTACACGACGCTGTGGCGCCGAGCGCGCACTGGATCTGGGGAGGCGACTGGAATTCCCACTTCGGTAAGGACGCAGTCAGCTGGGGCTGGGTGGGAGGTCGTGTCCTAGAGACTCCCACGGCGGCCTCTTCGTATCATGTCCAGGAGTGGGCCCAGCCAGCTGGATTGCATCATGTGGACAGCTTCTTGCCGTTCCGTGCGGGGAAGCGGGGTACTTGGCTCGACCGACGGAACCGCAAGTATTACGAGAATGACTATTTCTTGTCCTCCATTGCGCCTGGCTTCAGGCGCTGGCGGAAGGCTGCCACCTTTGCTGCGTCTTTCGGAGATCACTTCGGGAAGGTCGTCGCCCTCGCGTTGCCAGGTCGAGTTCGCGCTCGTGAGTGCCGACGCCGGGCCGTCTCGGACGCTCCGCTGGGCAAGTGCCGCTCAGGCTTCGACGGTGCTCTCCGCGAGCGTCGGCCCCTCCGAGTCGACCTTCTCCGTGGGCCGTCACACAGCGCCCAGGCGGCTCGACGCGTGTTTGCGGAGGCAGCCGCCCGGCAATTCGCCAACCCGACGCCGTCCTCTTCCGCCGCCGCGCCGGCTCCCTCCCTGACCAGCTGGGCGTCGCTATCCAACGCCCTGCGGTTCGCTGCAGAGGAGGCCGTGGGCCGCCAGCCCCGCCGCAACGTGCTTCCGATTCTGGCGTCCAGGCAGAAGGAGGAGGGCGCAGACAAAGCGGCACTAAAGGCAAAGTGGGGGTCGATACGTCGGGAGCCGGACGGGGACAGAGCCCTCGCACTGCGGGCAGAACACAAGAGGATGAAGGCGGCGGCGAGGAGGAAAGAACGGTGGTGGCGACGGGAATTCATAGACGAACTCTGTGGGGATCTTCAGCGGGCAGTGGGCGATCGGGACAGCCGCCGTTTCTACGCTGGATTGCGGGAGCTGGGTGTGTTTTCGCGCGACACGGGGCTGCTGGAGGACGACTGTTTCACGGCAGAGCAGGCGGCCCAGCACTTCAGGAGCATCGGGGGCGAACCCAACCTGCCCAGCACCCACGGCCAGGTGCTCCAGGAGGTGCCAGGGCACCCCCCCGACGTCGGCTTGGACGCGCCACCGCTGAACGACGAGATCCAGTCCGCCATCGACGCTATGAGGGGTTCGGCCGCCGGTGACGACGAGATCACGATAGACGTGATCCGAGCTGGCGGGCCGCCCGTGTTCCTACAGACGCGCTCGCTGGTGCGGCGTTTTTGGTCCCAGCCAGGGCAACAGTGGGAACCTGGAGTCGCGCGCGGAGTGGTGACCATGCTGTGGAAGAGGAAGGGCAGCAGGGATGACCTCGACAACTACAGGGGCATATGCCTCTTGTCGATCAATTTTCGTATTCTCGCGCGGGTCGTGGCGAGAAGGCTGAGCGGTTGGGCGGAACAGAAGAGGCTGTACGTCGCCGAGCAATGCGGATTTCGCACTTACCGCTCCACGCGGGGCGCCATCCTCGTCTGCAGGGTCATGTTTGAAGAGGCGGTTCGCCCAGGCTCCAACTTCGAGGAGGACGTCCTCACGCTTCTCCTTGTGAGCGTCAAGAAAGCCTACCCCAACGTCCCGCGTGCGCTGTGCTGGGGCGTCCTGAAGAAGCTCGGCGTGCCGGCGGGGCTGTGGCAGTTGCTACAGGGCCTTCACGAAACAACGCAGTATGTGGTCCGCACCAAGCGTGGCGATTCCGCGCCGTACTTCCTGCAACGTGGTCTTCGCGAGGGATGTCCCAGTAGTTGCGTGGTGTGCAACGTCTTCCATAATGCAGCCCTTCAAACCCTCAAGAAGCAGCTGGGCAGTGTATCCATCAGGGCGCGCACTGCGCTGGAGAAGCCGCTGCCCCGCCCTCGCGGGAAGGCTCCGCTCCCCGAGGGGCTGCAGGACTTCCTCTTTCAGCTGTTGGCTTTCGCGGGCGACACTTCTGTCCCGTCGGCGCTCTCGAACGCCGCAGAGGTCGAGCGCGCGGTCACTGTTGTTCTCCGGGGCCATGGAGAGCACGTGCGCCCGGGGAAGACCGAGAGGATCATGGCCGCGCCGGCCGGGCTAGATGGGCCACTCCCTGAGGGCTACTACCGCAGCATCCGCTTGCTTGGCGCCTGGATCGATAGCGACGGGGGCTCCAGGAAGGACACGGAGGAACGCATCAAGAAGGCAGCCGCTCTGTGGCACAAGATCAGGCCGCAGCTGCCTCGCATGCGCTTGTCTCGTAGACTGCTCGCTCAAGTTGTCCAGTCGACTGTGGTGGCGTGCCTGCTCTATGGGTGTGAGGTCCGCACGTGCACTGCCCAGGGCTACAAGCGCATGCAGGTGTTTGTCAACAAGATCATCCGCTGGCTGACGTGGACACCGGAGACGGGCGGTATGCGGCAGATGGAGGGGAAGCTTCCGATGACGGACCTGCGGTTGCAGCTCGGCCTGCTCACCGTCAAGGAGTGCGTCATGCGGCGCCAGTACGCGTACCTCGGACACGTGGCCAGATACCCTGCTGACCGACTGGAAAGACTCGCTCTGGGTGCCTGGCTGGGCAGCTTCAAGGGGCGCGCCCTCGGACTGCGAGACTTCTACTGGCAGCGCGTCCGTGAGGTGATGCGACGCAGTGGCCTGCCCGAGCGCGAGTGGCCGGACGCCTGGATGGAGTTCGCTCGATCGGGGGGGCCACGCGGGGCGCCATGGCGTGCTGCTTGCGGGCGTGCCGTCGCTGATCGCAAAGAGGAGGCCGACAGGGATACTTGGGCGAGGCGCCGCGCTGACGACGTGCAGTGTCCCTACTGTTCCCGGCAAGTGGCGAACTTGCCGCGCCACCTCCGGGAGTGCGACAGAGCCCCTCTTCGTCGCCTCCAGGGCAAGCAGCCGCCGCCCCGTGCTGCGGCGCCGCGGACTCGAGTGCGGCTCCGGGGGAAACAGCGAGCAGACCGCCCCCTCCGAATCCGACTCCCAGTCGCCAAGCGGACTCTCAAGCCGAAGGCGCGGCCGAAGTCGAGGGCTCAGAGCAAACGCACACCTCGCCCTCCAGCCCGGGCGCTCGACGCTCTCAGCCGCCAGGGAGGATGGAAATGCCCATATGGTCAGCAGATGGTCGGCAGCCCGACTCACCGCTATTTGTGCGCCGCTGCTCCGTGCGCCGTGTGGCACTCGCACGTGGAGTCGAAGCAGCGTAAGAAGTTCCCAGACGAGAGCGCCCGGGCGTCGTGGACGTGCAAGTGTTCCCTGTGCGGCATGTTTTTTCCGAGTGTCAAATCGGTGGCGGCGCGCGCGAAGGAATGTCGGAAGCGCCGTGTACGTTCTGGGCTATGATGTCTCTTCTGCACCCAGGTGTTTGTGAATATCGTCATGCGTATTCTTGGGAGGTGGTGTCTCGAAGAGCACGCTTTCATCGCCCTTCTTCGTGTCCGTTGTGTACTGGCTCGTGCGGTCGAGCTCGTTGTTGGCTACCTTCTGGTACTGTGCCATTCATTCTGTGCGTCGGCATGGGCGTTCTCCAGGCTGCGCAGAATTCCCGGGGCGCAGCTGCTGCCGCGGCCCCCGCGGCCGGCGCCGGCGCTGAGGGGCGCGGCAAGGGCGGCGAGGGCAAGAGTGAGCGGGCCATCCTCATGGAGGGCATCATCTCCGTGCTCACTGCCCACGAGAGGGTCCTGGGAGACCTCCTCGACCGCTCGTCGTTCGTGGTGGTGGTCAAGGATGCTGGCCTGAAGGGGGGCATCGAGACGGTGAGGGGCAGCTGGCGCAAGCAGGATCCTCGCCGTAAAAAGGCGAACGACGGGGCCATGGGCCAGGATTCTGGTTCTGGGCCCCACCCGCTGGGCTCCCAGCGCGCGCTGATCCACCGGCTCCTCTTTGAGATGCTCCTGAAGGAGGTCTCCGTGGACAACGCCGAGGCCAGGGAGGCGGTGGGCAAAATCTCGAAGCTGGCGAAGGAGGTCGTGGATGGCATCATCTTCAGGATGAAGCCGCGCCGCGACAAGCCGGCAGAGGGCAAGCCGTGGGTGTGGGCGTTCCTGATGTCCGACGAGGTGCCTGCGGAGTACCACGGGGCCCTCCGGATCGTGAAGTCGATCAAGTGCGAGAAGCTCTTCGTGGCGAGCCAGCGCTCGCAGGGCGGCCCCGCGGTCAAATGGCTGCTCGACCTGAGGAATGGGTCTACGGATGCCCGGCCCATGCGCCAGCGGGTCGGCTAGCATGTCACGATTCCAGAACGAGTGCGCCTCTGGCAGTGGACGCGGGAGGCGCGTGTCTTCCAGAATTCAGTTCTCCAGCTGTCAGTGCCGATGGGCATATTGATTTGTCATTTTCGTATGTCGAGGGGCATGTGGATTTGTAATTTCTGTACACTCCATCCCCCCTGCCCCGCCCCCTCCCCCGCCTCTCCCCCGCCCCCTCTCCCGCCGCGCGCCCTGCCCGGGGCGCCCCGACAGCGCGAGTCGCACGCAAACGCCGCTGGCTTTGGACGCCAGGGGACGGGTCTTCCAGCATCCACAGTGTGTCTCGTATTTGTGCCGAGAGGCATATTGATTTGTGATTTTTCCCAAGGGTCAGATGTCGAGGGGCATATTGATTTGTCAGTTGGCGTGGAGGTCCCTCTTGCTGCTGTCGTGTCGTCCTGTCTCGTCTTGTTTCGTTTCGTCCGTCGTCCCTTCCTCGTCGTCGCGGCTGGGCGCGGCCTGAAAAACTGGCCGGTCGTCTCGTCCCTCCCCCTCTCCTCTCGCCCTTCTCGCTCCTCCGGGCCGTGCCGCTGGCCTCTCCTCCCCCCCTCGTGGGCCGTGCCCTGGTGTCCGCCCCTGCCGCTTGCGGGAGTGGCGGGCGCGGTGCCCGGCCCGCGCTCCCTCGCCTTTCTCTCCCTGTCGTCGTCGTTGCTAGCTTTGACCTCTGTCGCGCCAGATTGAAGGGTGTATTTTCCCGTGAATTCTTGTCCCGAGGGTCTGGGCGCTCACCCGCGACGCGGGTCCAGGTAGCCGGCTCCGTGGGCTCTTGGGCCTCCGCGGAGGCCGCCCGCGGGGCCTGCGCCCCCTCGGGGGCGGCGTCGGCAGGCCGTGCTCCCCCGGGGGCTCCGGCACGCCGCGCGACCGCTTACGAGTTTTGCCCGTCCGCCTGCCGACCCAGGCTGCCCGTGGCAGCCAGGCCGGCGCGCTGAGAGGTATGGCGCGAGGACGGTGATGTTGTGCCGGGAGCGGCCCGCGAGGCCTTGGCGCTCCGAACTTGCATGCTGTATGATGTACCGCGGAGACGTAGTGCCCAAAGATGTGAACGCTGCGGTAGCTACTATAAAGACCAAGCGCACCATTCAATTCGTGGATTGATGAATTGCTTGCCATTCTCTGGACAGGATATGGCAAGCAATTCATCATTGTATACGTGGTGTACGGGCCGTTGGGAGCACGCACCGACAGGGCGAAGCGAACGTATCTGGTGAACATGCTCGAGGCGGTGCTCGCGGACGTGGTGGCTCGAGGTCAGGTGGCCTGCTTCGTGGGGGGGACTTCAACGCCGAGACTTCGGACGCGGCCGATTTCCAGGAGAAGCTGCGCAGGTCCCGGTGGCAGGAAGGCTATGACTTCTGCGCGGGGAGCCAGCAGGAGATCCCCACCTGCGCCCAGGGCCGTGGTTCGCGCATCGATCGTGTCATCATGAACAGTGATGCTTCTGCCTTGGTCAAGAGGTGCGAGATCGACGCCGCAGCTGGGCTGCCCGTGCACCGCCCGATCGACATGCTTATTGACGTGCCGCTGGCGCAGCAAACCATCCGACGGGCACGCAAGGTGGCGCGGGTCCCTCTACCCGGCCGGCCGCCCCCAGAGTGCGTGCCTCCCCGGGGCTGCCCCAACCGGGCTTTTGAGCAGGCACTGGAGGCGCGCGACATGGATGCTGCGCTGAAGGCGTGGTGTGTCATGGCCGAGTCTCACCTGCTGGACGTGGCGCCCAGGGACGATGGGCTCACGCAGGCGCGCCGTGTTCGGGGGCGAGGCAAGATCGTGGTCGAGGAGCGGCAGGCTTTCCCGAAGGTCGTGCTTGACAGCGCCGCCTCCCGTGCCACCCGGGCCATCCTGAAGGCCTGCGAGCGTGCTCGCACCTTGGCACGCGCGGACCTCTCGTCCGTCCGGGCGGAGCGCGCGCGTGCGGGATTGCAGGCTGTGCTGTCGCACTGTCAGGAGCCTGTCGCCGACGAGGTCCGCGAGGCCATGCGGTCGTCTTGCACGCAGACCGGGTGCGCCAGGCTCCACGAGACGTTGTTGAATGAGCTCCAGCAGGTGCAAGTGCGCGAGAAGCGTGCTCGCATCAAGAACTGGAGGAAGGACTTGCGTGCCAAGCAGAGCAGAGCGTACAATTGGCTGAAGAAAGGGGGCCCCGCTGAGACCGGGGGCGCCATGAAGAGGCCAGGCGGCGCCGTCACCGCGAACATCCCCGAGCAGCTGAATTTGGTCGCCGGCGCTTGGCGGCCGATTTTCGAGCGCTTTAAGCAAAGGGAGCCGGCGGTGGATACCTTCATGGAGTACTTCGGGCTTCACATGCGGACGCACACCTGGAGGACAGAGCAGATCACAGGTGACCAGCTCGTGGAGGTCGCGGCGGATCTGGCTAACTCCGCTGGCGGCCTGGGCTCCTGGACGGCGGAGGAGCTGAAGGTCTTGGCTCGCTGGCATCCGCGTCTCTTCGATCAGCTGGCATCTGTGCTCAACGCGGTCGAGGACGGGGCCCCGTGGCCCCGCGCGGTCACGCAGGGGTACATTGCTTTGATCCCGAAGGACAAGACGGACGCGGAGCCGGCGCCGACGGCCCTGCGCCCCATAACGGTGCTGAGCATCCTGTACCGTCTGTGGGCGAAGCTCCGCTTCAACTGCGCCATGGACTCCTGGCAGGAGCACTGGGTGCCCGAAGGCATTTGGGGATGCCGCCGGCGTCGGGGAGCTGAGGGCCTCTTCTTGGGCGTGGCGCTCGACATGGGGCAGGGCGGCCAGGGGGTGCGCGTCGGTGGCGCCAGCTACGACTTCAAGAAGGCTTTCGACTACATACCTCTTCAGCTCCTCTTTGCCGTCTTGGCGCGACGTGGCATGTGCCCGCGGGTACTGCAGGCCGTGCGGGGTTGTTATTGTCAACTTCAGCGATGCTTCCGCATGCGGGGGGCCATGGGCGCGACCCTCGAGATCTTCGGTGGCATCGTGCAAGGGTGCCCGCTGTCCATGCTGGGCCTGAACGCCTTCATCAGTTGCTTGGTCGAGGCCGTGCGCAGCAAGGTGCCCGGCGTGATCCCGCGAGCCTACGCTGATGACATGTCAGCGACGAGCAAGGCGAGGAGCGGAGCGAGGCTCGTTAAGAACATCCAGAATATGCACGCCGTCACCCGCGAGTACGAGAGGAGGACCGGTGGCCAGGTGTCGGCGGAGAAGAGCTTCACTTTCGGCGATGCGTGCCTACGCCGCAGCCTGGATGGAGTTGACGGCCACGAGCATATTTTCCGGCTCGTGGGAGGTCCTGTGACAAGCCGCGAGGAGAGGGAGGCGGAGTCGTGGCCGCAGCTGGTCGAGCAGCGCATCGCGACGTACACGGCGACGGCGCAGCGCATGCGCAAGGCGCCGGAGGGCTTCCACGGCCGTGTCCGGATGCTCCGGGCCACGGCCTCGCAGGCTTCATGGGGCCACGGGTCTCACTGCATGCCTGGTACCCCGATTGCTTTGAATAAGTTGCGCACGGAGCTGCTGAAGGCGGCCTGGGATATGGACAAATATTCAAGCAGCGTGCAGATGTCGCTCACTATCCTGATGCCAGTTACCTTGGATCCATTTTTTGGCTTCGTGTACGCTGGCCTCAACAGCATGCGTCGGGCCATGAGCGACCGCGTGGTTCGCGACCAGGTCCGGGCAGCTCTTGCGGCGCCGCCTCGGGAAGCAGATGGCCCAGTTGCTCGCCTGCGCCAGGTCATGGAGCACGCCGAGCTCCGGCCCTTCGTCGAGCAGATGGTGCGCGAGGAGCAGCTGGATGTGGACAGGTGGGGCCATGACCTGCCTGATGCGTGGCGGCGGAGGCTCTGGCGCCAGCTGCCGGAGTTGCGTGCCGCGTGCAGAGGCGCCGAGCATGGTGTGGACCGTGAGAAGTCCACCAGCTATCTGCGGAGGTTGCAGGCGCAGGCTGATCAGCTTCAGCGCAAGCCGGACAGTGGAGATTTACAGGACATGCCCTCGTCTTTCGACGATCCTCGGGCGAAGCTGGGCGTGCTACGCCGTCTTATGGCGGGGTCTCTGCTCGCGAGTGACAGGCTGGCCCGTCACGCGGGCGCGGCGGAAGGCGTCGTGTGCTCGTCTGGCCTCGGCAGGGAGACCATCGTCCACGTCTCCTGGGCGTGCCCGCGCCAGAGCACTTGGCGGGGGCCAGCCCTGGCAGCTTTGGGCGGGCCGTGCGCCGACCAGCCGATGTGCTTTCAGTGCGCGACCATCGTGCCGGAGGCCTCCATGCTGACCGCGGAGCAGGTGGTTACGATCCAGAGATCCTTGGTAGACGTGTGGCAACATCGCATCCACGCCTGGCACGAAGGTGGCGGGGAGGAGGAGCCCGGCCCAGGGCCTGGGCCGCCCGGCGCGGGAGGGCGGCGACGGCTGACGCAGAAATCCGCGCCTGCCGGCGATGTGCCGCCGCCGCCGCCTGAGCCAGGGCGGGCTGTCCAGAGGGGCGAGAGTGGTCCCCGGAGGCGAGGCGCCGGGGCGCGTGGCTCTGCCAACACGGACAACGGCCACCTCATCCGGCTGATCCCTGGCGGCCGCGGGGTCTTCTGCGTCGAGTGCGGCGAGCAGACCGCGGAAATGAAGGCGAGGAGGCAGAAGATCACGCACAAGGCGTGTCCGCAAAAGGATCTGCCACAATCGCAGTGGCTCTCGCAGCCTGGCGTGTGGCGGAGCTCTGTGCGCTTGCAGAACGTCGAGACGGAGCTTCAGAAGTACAGCGCCGGCAAGCACCAATTGAAGCGGAATGGCAAGCTCGGGAAGGTGCCGTTCGCGGAGGACGAGGGCCTCATCTGGTGCGCTGTCTGTGAGCGCCGCTGGTACTGGAAGGACAGGGCTAGCAATCTGGCGCGCACCAAGTGCGATGGGAACCCGAAGGCGGCGAACCGGGAGCGGCAGAAGAGCACGCAGGGCATCCAGAAGTGGACGGCCGCGCATACGGACAGCCACGAACTCATATACGAGGCGGAGAACCTGCGCTGGAAGTGTGGTAAATGCAGTGTTCATGGAGCCCTTGGTTTCGGGGCGCGCTTCGTGGCTGCCGTGCGTGTGCCGTGTGGAAGGGGCCAAAAGCGTTCCTCGCCGCCACAGTCGGATCCGCCTCGGAAATCTGGTCAGAGCGCTCCCTGGGAATCGGAGGCTGCCCTGACGGCCCGGGACAAGCCGGCGAAGCGCCAGAGAGTGCTGGAACCGCATTCGTCGAGGTTCCCCAGAACTGGAATAGGCTGAGCTAAGCAGGTCTGGAGGTGGTCGGCTTCATGCCGGCGCAGCTCAGACAAGGGCGGCGATTGGTGCCCCACGGGCTTCAAGTGCGGCATCAACTATCAGCCTCCCGCAGTGGACCCTGGTGGCGACCTGGCCAAAGTCATGCGCGCCTGCTGCATGATCAGCAACTCCACCGCCATCGCAGAGGTCTTCTCGCGCATCGACCACAAGTTCGACCTCATGTGCTCGAAGCGCGCGTTCGTGCACTGGTATGTGGGCGACGGCATGGAGGAGGGCGAGTTATCCGAGACTCGCGAGGACCTGGCGGCGCTGGAGAAGGACTACGAGGAGGTGGGCATCGAGACCGCAGAGGGCGAGGGCGAGGAAGAGGGCTACGGCGACGAGTTCTGAGCAGGCTGCCGCTGAACAGCTGCACGAGGGAGGGTAACCGAGGAGTCGCACTCTCGTTGAGAACGGCGTGCTTCCACGACCTTCCCCAAAGACTTGCGCGTTGTTGCACGCAGCAGGTCGGCGTATTTTCACGCCGACCTGTGGCTGTTCACTTGTGCACCAAATCTTGGCTCGGGGTGGCCGAACTGTTAGACCGCCTCGTGCCCCTGCCACCTTGTCATCGCGCCTGCAGAGAAAACAACCAAAGAGGGCCCCAGGCGCCCCCAAGGGGTCCCCGAAAATTCTGTCAGCAGGCCCCTGGAGGCTTCGCAAAGATACCCCAGGACCTGGTCTCGAGCAAGCTTCCAAGAGGCAGCGTTGGTGCTCCTGCGGGCCTCCAGGGCCACTGGGGGGGGAAGGCGGTCACGCGCGGGAGCCCCTCGACCTGCCCAGGAACGTGCGGATCCACAGTCGGGGGCCCATCGCCGATCTAGCGGCGATGTACCGCCGATTCCATTCCAGGTCGCTGCGTCACCCCCTATGCCAGCCCTCCCCATGTCGCTGCCCCTCGAAAGCCAAAACAGGCAAGGACGCGACCATCTCTCTGGGCCTCCCAGATGGGGTCGGAGTAGACGGGGTCGAAGGATCGCCCGATGTGGAGGCCGATGTTCTCCACGCCGACGTCGCCGATGCATCGCCGATGCATCGCCGATGCGTCGGTAATGCATCGGCGACGCACGAGCGATGCATCGACGACGCAGTGGCGCTGCATCGACGAGGCGGGGCGATCGTCCGACCCCATGTGCTCGGAGCCCATCTGGGAGGCTTCTACTCTTCCGGCAACCAACTGCGGGAATCTCTGACGTGGGCCTCCCGGGCCCCAGCAGCGGGCCACGCCCCTCCGCCGTCGCCCGCCCCCGCCGACCGTGCCCCGCGCGCCCCTCGGGGCCCGACGGGGCTCGGCGGGGCTCGGCCGAGCCCCGGGGCGGGCCGCGGCTGCAGCCTGCGCGCGTGGCCGCGGACAGCTGGCACCCGTGCCCATGCGACCTGCATGCTCCTCGGGGGGTGCGTGTGGTCGGATTGGCTCTCGGCTCGAACGGGGGCCCTTGGATCGGAGTCCGACAGCCCTTGCCCATAGCTGCAGGGCAGCCTCCAACCGCGAGGCGCGGGTCAGCCCCCCCCCCCCCCCCTACAAGTATGAGCGCGCGTCGTCCGCTCGTCACGAGCAGCGGGCCGCACCCCTCTGCTGTCCCCCGCCTCAAGAAAAAACTCAGGGGAGGCCAGTTTCACAGAGGCAGGATTCCGTGATTTTCTAGTGGGCCTCGTTGGATCTGAATGGACGTTGGAGGCAATTCAGGCTCCCCCGCCCGTTTCGGTGAAACTCTCTCGCCTCTCGCCCCCTGGAAGTGATATCCCGCCCCCAGAGCCCTCAGTGCGGGATCCCACCAAGATCCCAAAGCCCAATCAGATCACAACAAGACCCAACTCGGAGTCCAATTTGAGCCCAAGAGGAATGCATGGCTCGATGGTTTCGATGGTTGTCTCGGCCACGTTTGCGTGGTGTCGATGAGAACCCAAGCATGATTCCTCTTCGATGGGAACGCACTACAGGTTTCTCTTCTACATCTCTTACTCCCACCCCTCGCTGACTTATTAAGATGAATCAATTTGTGGGGTGCTATCGATATCCCTCGGCGGTTCCCCCCCTCGGAGATCAATTCATTATTTTCAGTGCTCCTGGTATCGCCCGGGGCATTCTTAGTTGCTTCTCACGGGTATTCGCTTCTCCGGTCATCCAGGATGGCCAGGGCAGGCCGAGAGTCTTCCAATAGCGCGGCCAGGACCGCACTGGCAACGACAGGCCATGAGGCTCTGAAGACGGCCTGGGGGGAGTCGCAAGACGCTGGGTCCAGCGACAAACGCCAGGAGGCATTGATCGCGCCGTTCTGCCGTGGCACGTTCTGCGCCTCTTCCAGCTCAGCCAGCGTGCAGCCTTGACTCAGGCGAGCCATCCCACTTCGCGGCGATTGTCCCTCACGTGAGCGCGCGCGCACTGAGCACCAATTGTCGCTGATCAGACGAGCAAAGACGATGGTCGAGCAACGTGACGCAACTGTTACTAGAACCTTTGCGCGCAAAGCGCGCGCGGGGTTTGATCACGCCTCAGCTAGGTCCTACAAACATATGCGCCTACATCCATACAACAGCCCGTTCATGCATAAATCCATTCGTACATGGTTCTGTACATTCCACCGTACATACTCAAATTAATGCTTCTTTCGAGGCAGCCCGAAGACCAGACGTGGTCCAACCGTGTAGCCATCGAGTCAGCCCCACATGTCTATTGACACCGTCTTCAGAGTCGTTTGGAACCTAAGTGCGCGCGTAGCGCGCGCGTGGTGCTGGTATGTGCGTTTGCGTGTACATTGGCGTGTATACATATCTGTCACACAGTGCCATGCGGTGCACACGCGTTGATCTAACTTGTGCGTTTTGTCAGAAGCTTTCTCACACGCTATTCTGTTGCCCCTATGCGCGCGCCCCCCTCGTGCGCGTGCTCACGTCAACACACACACACACACCTTTTTTGTTGCAACCTGTCCGCATGTTTCCCTCATGCGAGAAACACGTGTTTTCATGTCTTTTCACCGACCCACTGCCACACTTATGCGCGCTCCCTTTGAGCGGCCAAGAGCAATTGATCGGATCTTCGGCCATGCTGTCGACTGGCCACGCGCGCGCACACGTGGAGCACAGTCAACCAGCACCGCGCTGCCCTCCTACTCCGTGAAACAGTTCCATGCGGGTCACGCGCGCGCGTCGCCTAGTGCAGGCGGCGAAGCCCTGCACTTACATGTTATGTTTTGTGCCTTCCATTATGCGAAACATCGCTTCAGCACGCAGGTGTGCAGCACCATATGGGACCCAGTGGTTGTGCAATACAAGTTCTGTCAGAATTTCGGACGTTCTGCCTCCGCGCACTTCATGAACATCCTCAGCAGCACAATCGTTATCATCATCGCCAGTGTCATCGTTGCCACCGCCGTCAGCATCTCCGTCACCTTCATCGCCATTATCAGAATCGTTGTCGTTACCGCCGCCGTGGTCATCAATCTCATCATTGTCATCGTTGTTGTCGTCGCCTGTTTCGTCAGCGCCACCATCAACATCACCACCCTAGGCACGGACCTGCACGCCAATAGCTTTCGCGTCTTCAGTTGTGTTGTGCCAACAAGTTGCGGGTGAGTGGTTCTGAAGTTTGCTCGAGGTTTGGAGTTGACGCCTGGCATTTGAGCTCACAGCTCCAAGGCCGTCACCATTGATAATAAAAATGCATCGATTTCTATCCCTCTTTTCTGGGCTGATGTTTACCCCTCCGGTAGCGCGAGTCAGCACATGCTCGCGTATATGATCGCGGGCTTCGGGTCCTCGGGCCCCCCCCCAGATGGGATGGGTCCCAGGGTCCTCGGCCCCCCCCCCCCAGATGGGATGGGGGGGGGAGGAGGAGGAGGAGGAGGAGGAGGAGCAGGATGAGGAGGAGGAGGAGGACGACGACGACGACGGCAATGACGACGATGACGACTACGACGACGACGACGACGACGACGACGACGACGACGACGACGACGACGACGACGACGACGACGACGACGACGACGACGACACCGACGACGACGACAACGACGACGACAACGACGACGACGACGACGTCGACGTCGACGGCACCACTAGCGGCGGCGGCGACGACGTCAAGCACCAGAGCTGTCAACATGACGCCAATCCCAGCCACACGCCGCACCCACACCGCACCCACAGGGGGGGAGGGATGGGGGGGAGGAGGACCATGGCGTCACCCCGCAAACACACACAGCAACACACCACACCCACACCACATGCACAGGGGGGGGGGAGCCACCACGCCAAGCCCACGCCCACAGGGGGGTGGGCATCGCGCGGGGGGTGGGGGGGCGATGGCATTAGCATTGGGGGGGAGGGCCCAAACCCTCGACCATCTATGGTCATGCGCACGTGTTAATGCAAGGTGCGTGTGCGGTGCGTAACATCGGGTATACTATGGTTTGATAGTCTAGCATTTGTTAGGTATGGGGTGCTATGAGGACACGTGCTTACATTACCTACGCTGGGGTAACATGTATGCCTACATCGTATGTCTGTACGTCATGCGATACACGGCAGGTTAACCGAACACATGTTCGTTCAGCATACGTTCATACAGCATGTTGCACTATCTAATGTCCTTCGGCCCACCGCGCCACTGTGCCTGGGTTGTGGGTCTGAGCCCTCTTGGATGTTCGTTGGGATCTCGTCGGGGCCCCTCGGGGGCCTCCCGAAGGCAGTTTTGAGGTCTCCAGGGGACTGTTTTGGGGTCTCTTGGGACCTCTTTTGGGCCTCTTGGTGGCCTCTTAGGGCCTCGTGGGGGCCTCCTGGGGGCCTCTTGGGGCCTCTTGGGCGCCTCTTGGTGCCTCTCCTGGGTGCCTCTTGGGGCGGAAGGCTAGGATTTTCGGTTTGTGTTCCCCGTTCCCCCTTTTGGGCTCCTCTCGGGGCCCTCTTGAGCAGTCTTGGGCGCCTCTTGGGCCGTCTTGGGGCCTTCCTGGGCCGTCTTCGGGCGTTCTTGGGGGCTTCTTGGGCCGTCTTTGGTCGGTCTTGGGGGACCTCTTGGGACGTCTTGGAGCGTCGGAAGCTCGAAAAGTTGAGAACCCCCCAAACCATTTAACAACCGAATGTAAATCAATGATTTTGGCCTCTCGGAGCCCTGTTGGGAAGGCTCTTGGCTTGGGGCTCTCTTGGGGCGCCACGAAGGCTTCCTCGACCGTCTTGGGGCTATCGCGGGCGTCTAGTGAAGCTTTGGGACCGTCTCGGAGGCCCCTTCAGACGGAACTGTAGCATATGCCGCTCAGACATAGAGTACGAATGAGCATTAGAAGTTCTACGGCAGGTAATCCCCGGCAGCTGGAAGCAGAGGCAGTTCGTCATTGGAGTGGGCGCCAATGTTGAAGTGGGCCAGCAGCATGACGAAGACGACCCCCTTTGCATCGGCAAAGTCGGCCTGGGCGCGAGGACGGATTGAATCAATGTCTGGCGTGGGCAACCCAACACGCGACAAATCTATTATGTGTTAATTGACCATTGACTCAAACTAGAGTTGCACAATACAGATGTCATTGCCGATTTGATGCAAAAGAAGGGTCGCAGGGCAGTTTTGGCAAAATATGGCAGTACGCGCGAAAGTGGAGACGGCGGAAGCCTCTGATGGTGGGGCGAGGATGGGACATGACAGCATACAGAGAATAATGCCATGTGGCACAATCGACTGCCTTGCGCGAGGCATCCGAAGACGTCGCTTCAGTGACAAGCGCTTTTGAAGGCTGCTTCAGAATGCGGCGAAGTACGGAAGGGGGCCAGGCAAAACGAGGAAACGTCCGAGTTCATCAGACAGATACGGAAAGAGAGGAACGAATGCACCAACGCAGAAGAAAGGAAACATAAGTCACGTCGCTTGAACGGAGCTCTCCGCGACCAAATGCGGAAGAGGCAGAACGACCAGCTTGACGAGTTCATCCTCAAAGGGTCAGCAAAGAAACTACCTGGGCTCCCAAATCGGCCGAATAAAGAAACCGCAGAACCAACATCCGAGATTCAGATGGAAAGCTACAATCCGGAAGGGGAGACATAGCTGAAAGTTTCGCAACATTTTGCAAGTCTTTGTATGACGCTCCGCTGGAAGGCTCCGGGGTCACCAGACCAAGCAGTAGAATCCCGGCTGCAGAAGTAAAGGCGGACGTCGCATGGATCATTTCTCGAATGAAGCGGAACAAGGATAGCGCTGAAGACTGCTTGGTGGCCGAGATGTTGAAGGGGGGCGGGAACGACATCATGAACCCCATCGCGGGGTTTTTTGCCGACTTGCTCAACGGCGTGTCCCGGGCCCCGGACTCGTGGCGCACCTCCGAGATTGTCGTTTTATTCAAATTATCCCAGTGCGACCCTACCTAGGAGTTGGAGCCTCTAGGAACAAGTGCTACATATATATATATATATATATATATATATATGTGCACACATATACATTTGTATTTGCATATATAGAAATACATTTCGGACATGCGATAGTACGTCGGGTTTCGTGTCTCCCGGTCGGTGCTATGTGCGAAACCTTGGTGAATCCTAAAGGCTCAAGCTGCCCCACTAAGGGCTCAATCTGGCCCACAGGCGGACAACATGCATGGAACACACGTTCGCACACACATCATATATATACAGCATCAATCGTGGATGCTGTGCTGCGCTCTGCTCTGCTCTGCTCTGCTATGCGATGCGATGCTATGCTATGCTATGGTCTGCTGCGCAATGCTATGCTGGGCTAGGCTAGGCTATGCTATGCTATGCTATGCCGCGCTATGCTATGCTATGCTATGCTATGATATGCTATGCTATGCTGTGCTGTGCTATGCTATGCTATGCTTTTGCCAGGGGGGCGGGAACGATATCATTAATGCCATCGCGGAGGTTTTTGCCGACTTGCTCAACGGCGTGTCCCGGACTCGTGGCGCACCTCCGAGATTGTCGTTTTATTCCACAAAAGCGAGACGACCCTCCCAAATAGCCACAGGCCCATCACGATCGTCCCAGTTTTGAACAAGTTGTACAGCGGCGCACTTTTGATGCGAATGGAAAGTATATCGGACAGATTTTGAACCAGAATAAATTTAATCTCGATCGGGTTATGGGTGTTGCGATTTAGTCCTCTGCGTGCGAACGATCAACGAGAACAGCGTTGAAGGGGGGGACGGTTCGGGTGGCTTCAATGGATTTTGGGAAAGCATTTGACGAAATCATGCACGCGGCTGTGCTTGCGGGTCTGAAGACAACCAGAATCAGTGATAACGAGTTTTGGGCCGTTCTGGATTTGTACACGGACCAGCGGGCGTATTCTCAGCTTGGCCCCGACACGCGAAGCGCATACTTTGACTGTCTTCGTTGCGCTCGGCAAGGAGATCCGATGTCGCCGGCATTATGCGCGAATGTAGTCAGGAACGCGATGGTGCATGTGAAAGAATTGTGAGAGAAGAATGTGTGCGGGAACATCATCGGCGGCGACTTTCGGGAGAAGAACCGGATGGCTTATGAAGCGTTCGCTGATGATGCCGCGATTGGCCAGATCAGAGCAAGTTTTGGTAAGCAAGTCAGCTTCTATACCCGACGAGCTCGCGCGAATCGATTTGCGCGTGAACGCGGACAAATGCAGCGCGCAATGCTCTGGGAAACGTGCCCCCTCAAACTAGAAGGTGCAGTTATTCGGACAAAAGTGTTTTTTGGGTCAGCTGCTTCGTTGGAGTTGCATGTTCGGTGGACAAGTATTCAACATCAAAATTGAAGCTGGCAGGGGATATCATCAACATGCCAGGTGCACGTTGGGCCGCGCGAGCGACTCAACGGAAGGGCCATGCCCGGTGGGGCGGTCAGTCGAGGGGGGTCACTCGGATGCCCAATTCGCTCCTGGCCCGGCTGATTCAGCAGATGCGAAGGCGAGTTAGTGTCGCGTGCAAAACATTCCGGCTGGGGCTCGTGGGCGCACGAGGCCTCGAGTGAGACTGTCTGGCAGGAGAGCGAGCGGGATTTTTGCAGCGCGCGTGGCGATGACCGCGCGACTTCTCGTGCAAACGTTTCGTGTTTCATTTGATTTTGGCGCAGTCGCACGCCCAGTGGCCTCGTTAAAAGGCATGCGCGCGACCAGCGCGCCTGCCCACCTTTGCAGGGGCGCCGGCTTCCCGGCGACGGCAGCTTCGTTCGTTCGTTCGTTCGGAGGCCTCTTGGATCTTGTCGGGGCCGCTCAGGGCTGTCTTGGTTTGTTTTGGGGCCTCCGTGGGTAGGGGCGCCGTCCCGAATGCTGCGCGGAACACTCAGAGCGCCCTGCCGTGCCCAAGAACGCCCAGGAGTTTCTTGGTCTGGGCCATTCAGAACCTTGCGAGCTTTCAGGACTGCATGACCTTTCAGAATTGCGTGAGCCTTGAGGTACTCCACTGCGTGCGGAATGCACGGTGGCGGATGAATTGTTGGTGTGCGACATGCTTTCAGTTTCGCAGGCAATGTTGGAAGACGCCTATCTTGTGCCAGCCATGCCCACTACCGACCCCCCCCTTCATCTTTGTCAAAGAACTAGGTGGTGCGCATGCGTTGATATGATAAGTCGTTTCTCGAAGGGCCCCTTCGCAACGCATGCCATGATGGCCACGTGCGCGCGCCGCCGCGCCTGCGTGCCGAATCCTTGCAAGCACCCAGTAGAACAAAAAACAAGTTCATCGAACACTAAAACACGCCATTCGCGATGGGCACGATAGAACTCTGACATATTTCTGCGCGCGCTCGTTGACATGTGAAGGGAACTATTTCTCCATTCTGGCGAATGGGATTATGTTGGCCACGCACGAGCGCTTGTTGAACGCGTTGACATGCGTCCGCGCACTCGCCAACCGTGTTAAATCCCACGCGGGCCACGCGCGCGCGTCTCCGCGCGCGCACGTCGAGTTCCGTCCAACAACAATTTCTTTGGTAGGGGTTTGAGATGGAGTAAGTTCTGCAACGGAGTCTGAACATTCGGCGGGTTTCATGTGCAAGCTTGTCAAGCATTCATAATTTCAGTCCGTCCGCACGCTCTCACCATCTGCATCGTCCCAATCGTTATCGTCATCGTCAAGAGCTGGACCACGTCAGTGGTCATCGCCGTCATCATCAAAACGGAGTCCTCATCATCGTCATCTTCATTGTCGTTGTTGTCGCCTTCGTTTTCTTCGCTACCACCATCGCCATCATCAGCATCGTCTTCGTCTCCGGTGTCGTCGCCACCATGGGCCGTCGCCCGCCCGAGTCACGGATCTTCATGAGCAGGGTCTGGATGTTATTGCGCTTGTTTAGATTTTTGAGCCAGTCATGATGAGTAGCATCGCCCACGTTCTCTGGACTTTTACCAAGACGTTGTTGGTGTGTGGGCGGGATGTTTGTTCGATCATTGGAGCTGTCGCCCTCAGTTCTGCCGAATGCATTGCGTCGACGGCAACCCGTGTTGTGCCCTGTGGGTTGCGCGTGCTCAATGTTTTGTTATATGCGCTGGCGTTGTGTTTTTGAATCCAGTATCATTATCCGTGTTATTGCCAATCATGTGTCTGTCTCTGTTTTGGCCAGAGCGAGTGTTCGACGCCTGAAGTCATCCGAGAAATCGGAAATCAGCTTCTTCCGATAAGCAGCCATGCGCGAGTTGGTGCACATCCAGGGTGGCCAGTGCGGCAACCAGATCGGGGCAATACGGGGCCCAAAAGTATACACCACCACCAATTCCCTCATCCCCTCCCTCTACCAGGAAACAGGAGAGCAAGAGGAGGGTAGATGGGGGGGGAGGAATCGACGTGGTGGTGTATACTCTTGGGGCCCGCAGGCAAAGTTCTGGGAAGTAATCTCTGATGAACATGGTATAGATCCTACAGGCACTTATCATGGAGATTCCGACCTCCAGCTCGAGCGCATCAACGTCTACTACAATGAGGCCACAGGGGGCCGGTATGTTCCGCGCGCCGTGCTGATGGATTTGGAGCCAGGCACCATGGACAGCGTCCGTGCTGGACCTTTTGGCCAGCTTTTCCGTCCGGACAACTTCGTATCCAGTTGTGCTGCCGCGCATATCCGTCATCGCGCTTGGGGAAGATATGTAGCAAGGCTGCAACGCGGCAAAGTAAGCAAGGCATGGCACGACACATCTTCCACCACACAGATCGAATCACGCAGTTTGCGCCACACATGTTGCGCAAAGCTGAAGTGTATGAGACACAGGGGTGACATTCGGTTGCCGAAGCTACAAGTTGATTGTCAAAGGGGAGTGGACTTGGAGGGAATCAATATTGCTGGGAGGAGGAGGAGGCGGAGGAGGAGGAGGAGGAGGCGTGGGAGGATGACAGGGCGCTTGTGGATAGGATGGATGATCGAAGACGCTCACGGCGAATCACGGCCGCCCCCTGCTCCTTTGGAAACGCCTCTGTGGCCGACAGCTGGGCCAGAGCTCGGCCAAGTTATCGGGCCAGTTGTTTCCCGAGTCGGTTTGGAAAGACCTCGGGGAACGCGTGGGGGAGCAAGAAGAGGAGGAGGGGGAATGATGAGGAACAAAGAGGAGGATGTATTATATTATTATTACATTATTAGGTGAGGAGGAGGAGGAGGAAGAGGAGGAGGAGAGGAGGGGAGGCAGGAGGAGGAGGAGGAGGAGGAGGAGGAGGAGGCCTCTTGGGCGCCTCTTGGGGCACTCGTGGGGCCTCCTGGGAGCTTTTGATGGCCTCTTGGAGGGTTTTTGGGGGCCTTTGGGGGCTTCTTGGGGGCCTCTTCGGCAGTCTTAGGGCGTTCCTGGCTTGCCTGACGCCGTCGGAAGCCGTCTTGGGGGCCTGTCAGGGTCGTCTTGGGGCCCTCTTGGGGCATATCAGGGGTTCGTAGAGGCCATCTTGGGCGTCTTGGAGGCCTCTTGGGTCGTTTTGGGGCCCTCTTGGGGCCGTCTTGGGGGCCTTTCGGGTCGTCTTGGGGCCATTTTGGAGGCCTCTTGGGCGATCTTGGGGGCCTCTTGCGCCGTCTTGAGCCGTCGGAATGCCGAGACGAAGCAACTGCCAACATCTATCAAAACCCTTCAATGAATTTGGTTTCTTCGTGCCGTCCTGGAAGACCTCCTGGGCGCCTTTTGGGCCGTCTAGGAGGCCTCTTGGGGGCCTCTTGGGCCGTCTTGGGCCATCTTGAGGCCATCTTAGACCGTCTTAGGTGCATCTTGGGCCGTCCAGGAGGCATCTTGGGGCCATCTTAGCCGTCTTGGAGGTCATTTTGGCCGTCTTGGAGGCCTCTTGGGCCCTCTTGGGGCCGTCTGGGGGGCCTCTTGGGCCGTCATGGGGCCATCTTGGAGGCCTCGTCAGCGATCTTGGGGGCCTCTTGGGCCGTCTTGAGCCATCGGACTGCGGGAAAGAAACACATGCCAACATCCTTCCAAAACTTACGGAAACAAAGATTTTAGCCTCTTCGGGCCCTGCCAGAGGACCTGTTGGAGGCCTCTTGGGCCGTCTTGGAGGCCTCTTGGGGGCCTCTTGGTCCGTCTTAGGCCATCTGGAGGCCATCTCAGGTCGTCTTGGGTGCATCTTGGGCCGTCTTGTAGGCATCTTGGGGCCATCTTAGCCGTCTTGGAGGCCATGTTGGGCGTCTTGGAGGCCTCTTGGGCCGTCTTTGGGCCCTCTTGGGGGCATCTCTGGGGCCTCTTGGGCCGTCATGGGGCCATCTTGGAGGCCTCGTGGGCGATCTTGGGGCGATCTTGGGGGCCTCTTGGGGCGTCTTGAGCCGTCGGAATGTCGAGAAGAAACAAATGCCAAAATCATTCAAAAGCCCATGGGCAGTTAATCATTTTGGCCTCTTCGGGTCCTCCTGGAGGACCTCTTGGAGGCCTCTTGGGTCGTGTTGGGCCGTCTTGGAGGCTTTCTGAGCGAACTTGGAGGTATCTTGGACTCTCTTGGGCCGACTTGGAGGCCGTGTTGAACCATCTTGAGCGGACTTGGAGGCCATCTTGGGCCATCTTGGAGGCCATCTTGAGCCGTCTTGGAGGAAACATTGGGGATTGAGCTCCCTTCCGGGACCCCGGCGGGACGGGCCGAAGCCCCAGGTGGAGTTTCTTTGGAAAAGAACCAACACCAAAACCGAAAGGATCTAGCACTCCCAGGCACCCCTGTGGCAAGCCAACAGGGGGCGGCGGATGTAATGGCCTTCGGCCCATCCCGCCACCGTGCTTGGGTTGAGAGCATAAAGCCTGTTGGATGTGGTTGGGATCCCTTGGGGGCCTCTCGGGGTACGGATATTACCCATCACTCTGGCATCTACGATTACGACGACGAAACGACGCACTACCTACTACACTTACTCTATTGTTTTTTTTTATTTTTCTCCTTTTTTTCCTTTTTTTTTTTTTTTTCTCTCTCCTATTTTTTTCCTTTTTTGTTTTTTTTTTTTTTGTCCTTTTCCTTTTTCTTCTTTTTTTTCTCTTTTTTCCTTTTTTTTTTTATTTTCTTTGTTTTTCTATTTCGTTTTTTTTTTTTTCCTACTCCTACTCCATTTACGTTTGTATTTTTTTTTTATCTTTACTCCTACTCCTACTCCTACTACTACTTCGATTCATACGACTACGACTTGTACTAGCTTGATTTGTACCTTTCTATTACTACAACTACCCCTCATACTACGACTACTACTACTACTATTACTACTACTACGACTACTACTACTACTACTACTACTACTACTACTACTACTACTACTACTGCAGCTACTACTACCACTACTACTACTACTACTACTACTACTACTACTACTACTACTACTACTACTACTACTACTACTTCCACCACTTCTACGACTACTACTACTACTACTGCTACTGTCATTACTACGTACTACTACTTACCGTTACTACTAATACTATTACAATTACTGCGACCACGACTTCTTCTACTACTACCTCTACTGTGGTACCACTGTTACGATTCTCACGATTACTGCGACCACCATTAGTACTCCGAGTGCCACTACGATCATTAATAGGGCTACGAGTACCATTACTACCACGTGGCACGGTTACTTCGACGACGATGACGACTCCTACTATTACTATTGCCGTTACTAGTGCTACTATTACTACTACTACTACTGTACTGCTACTCTTACTTCTTCTAGTACTACTACAACTACTGCTACGACCACGACAACAGCTACTACTATGACAACAGCTGCTGGCATTATTACTAGTACTGGTACGATGGCTTTTGTTTCTCCCAGTATGATTTTTCGTACTACTAATTCGACGCCCACTACTACTACTGCTACTACTACTGTAACTACGACTGCGACAACGACGACCACTACTGCTACCACTACGACGGCGACGAAACCGATTCTTACTATTACTACTCTTATTACTTCGATACGTATGGCTACGACTGATACCAGTTTTATTTTTCTTGTCAGTACTACTACTACCACTACTGCTACTACGACTGCGAATACTCATACTACGACTTCCACATGTCATTACCATTATTGCTTGCTATTTCTTACCGTTACTGCTAATCATGCGACCACTTCTACTTGTTCTTTTCTACTACTTCTACCGTGTATACCACTGTAACGATTATTACGAAGATGACGACTACCATTAGCACCAGGCGTATTACCAGGGTCATTACTAGGGCTATATCTACCATCGCTACCACATAGCACGATTACTTCGACGAGGACGACGACTTCTACTATGACCGCTACCTTTTTATTAATATATGTTTCCTGTTAGTGCTACTACTACTATTACCATCTCTCTTACTGCTACCCAGACTACTACTACTACTACTACTACTACTACTACTACTACTACTACTACTACTACTACTACTACTACTACTACTACTACTACTACTTACTACTTACTACTACTACTACTACTACTACTACTACTACTACTACTACTACTACTACTACTACTACTATTACTACTACTACTACTACTACTACTACTACTACTACTACTACTGCCTACTACTACTACTACTACTACTACTACTACTACTACTACTACTACTACTACTACAACTACTGCCACTACTACTACTACCACTACTACTACTGCTACTACTACTACTATCACTGCTACTACAACTACTACTACGACTATGGCTACGACTACGGCGACGACTCTTTTTACTACTGCGACCACGACTGCTCATAGTGTCATACCTATTTTCATATTCCTCGTGCGTGTACTCTGCTCGTCATTTCCTGCTAGTGCCATGCCAACTGCGACTACAAATGGCCTGGATAATACACCCTTCGTAACTCGCATCTGTTAAAAGGACAAATCAATGGTGCGCGCGCCCACGCGTACATTCCCCGTTTTTTTTTTTTTTCTTCTCTTCTTTCTCTTTCCGATGCCCAAAGGTTCCACATAAGCCTCCCAGCTTTATTTCGAGAACTTTGCAGAACGACCCCGTCTGAAATATGTACAACAATAACCCCTGCAAGGTGATGCAGTCCCCTGTGCCGCCAGGAAATGTAGCAGTTCATCGGAGAAAGTATGAGAAGTGCGGGACGGCCAGGCTGGCGCCATGGGGCGGGGGGATCCATACCACGTGCCTAGCCCCACCTCCTTTTTTGGAGCAGCTCGCTTCTGGGAAGGCCATGGGCACAGGAACTTGGAAGAGCAAACTGATTTCGTGTTGGCTGGGTGCGCCGGGGGGGCATAGTTTTTGTTTCGCAAGACGCAGCAGTATCGAACAACAAAGGCCCGACACACACACCAACCGATGTAAGCGGTGGCGGATTTGGTCAGACTGGCGCAGGTAATAATTGGGCAAAAGGTCATTATACGGAGGGCGCGGAATTGATCGACAGCGTGTTGGATGTGGTCCGCAAGGAAGCAGAGGGATGTGATTGCCTTCAAGGGTTTCAAATGTGTCATTCACTCGGAGGCGGCACTGGAGCTGGCATGGGGACGTTGCTCATTTCCAAGGTGAGAGAGGAATATCCCGACAGGATCATGGAGACGTTCAGTATCATTCCGTCCCCAAAGGTTAGCGACACAGTCGTGGAACCATATAATGCCGTATTGTCTTTCCACCAGTTGGTGGAGAATGCCGACGAGTGCTTCTTGCTTGACAACGAGGCCCTTTATGACATATGTTTCCGTACTCTGAAGCTGACCACGCCCACGTATGGGGATTTGAACCACTTGGTGAGTGCAGCGATCAGTGGTGTCACTACTTGCTTGCGCTTCCCGGGGCAGCTCAACTGCGACCTGCGCAAGATTGCTGTGAACCTGATACCATTCCCGCGCCTGCACTTTTTCATGACTGGCTTTGCGCCCCTCACGTCCCGTGGCTCCCAGCAGTACCGCGCGCTGACCGTGCCGGAGCTCACGCAACAAATGTTCGATGCCAAAAATATGATGTGTGCAGCTGACCCTCGCCATGGCCGCTACCTGACCGCGGCGGCCCTGTTCCGCGGTCGCATGTCCACCAAGGAGGTCGACGAACAGATGCTTAATGTGCAGAACAAAAACTCTTCATACTTTGTGGAGTGGATTCCAAACAACATCAAGGCTTCTGTGTGCGACATCCCCCCAAAGGGCCTCAAGATGGCAGTTGCCTTCGCAGGTAATTCAACAGCGATTCAGGAAATGTTTAAGCGTGTAGCAGAGTACTTCACGGCGATGTTCCGGCGCAAGGCCTTCCTGCACTGGTACACCGGCGAGGGCATGGACGAGATGGAGTTCACCGAGGCGGAGAGCAACATGAACGACCTTGTCTCGGAGTACCAGCAGTACCAGGATGCCACTGCGGAGGAGGAGGGCGAGTTCGATGAGGAGGAGGACGGCGAACAGTGAGGTGCTTCTCGGGTTTTCCGCGCGCACCTGACCTTGCTTGTTTTTGGCCTTCGAATGACCGACGGGCCGATGCATGCGTGCAAGGACGCAACTCGTGAGAGAATCCAGGAAAACATGTGTCTTCTCGAAAGGAGTCGAAGGAGACATGCTGGTACAATTCAAGTAGCTCTCCATCGAGAGCTGAGTTTCGGGAAGAATCCGCCCTCAATCCCTTCTTCGGTTGCACACAACTGTTAATTTTATTTTGTCATTCTTGGTAGTCCCATGCAAGAGGCCCATAATCAACAGAGTCAGGACTCACGCTTCAGCAACCCGCCTGCTCGACTTGGCCGCTTCGGCCCGCCTTCCCCACCCGCCCGCTAGGGTCTGCGTGTTTTCTGTTCTTAGTCTCCCTACCTACTTTCTTTCGTTCTCCATCCTTTTCCCTCCCCCTTCCATCCGTCGTCTCTTCCCTTGTTTTAGGGGCTGCGCTACATGCGCGTGGCAGGTAAGGAAGATATACCCCCAAGGGGGATCTGATCGGAAACTAAGAGGGCGGGTACCGAGGGTTTGGGGCAAATGTGATAAATGGCACGCGAGCAGATCGGAACGAAGAGTCTTAAAATGATTGTTGAATTCTCTTCTTCAAAATGACAAATCGTTTTCTCCTCCCAGGGCCCGCACTATTTTTCTAAGGGGAAACTGGGTGTCACCAAACTGGGCCTCTGGCCCCTAGTTTACAACAGCCCCTGGTTTGCAACAACAGCAACAGCAACATCATCAACAACAACAACAACAACAACGGCTCCCGCCATATACTTCCTCACAATTTATTCCCAAATCGCGCTCTCGCGCGGGATTTCCTCACACGTTGTGCCCCAGAGTCGCGTTCTCGCGCGGGATTTCCGCGCAATTTATTCAGACGCCGCGCTCTCGACACTCAGAAATCACGCTCTCGCTGTGGCCATTCGATTTACTTGGGAATCGTGCTATCGCTCGAGACCTTGCGATTCATGCAGGACGCACGCTTCAGCAACCCGCCTGCCCCTTGTCCCTTCCTTGCATCCGTCCTGTCTTCTTATGCCTCAGAGGCTGCACGAAATACACGTTGCAGGTAATCAAGAAATATTTACCCCTTCTGGGGGTATGATCGAAGACGAAAGGGGAGGGTATCCAGGATTTGGGATATTCGTGCTGAGTGTCACGCGAGCAGATAAGAGCGAACATTGTCAAAATGACGGTTGTTGTTGTACCTTCATTCTTGAACAATAGTTATTGTTCATCACCCCCACGGGTGCATATTTTATCAGGGAACGCCGTACTGCTCAAACTGTGTTATTGGCACCCCGGCTACAACAACAACGGCTCACGCCTGATATTTCCTCACAATCTATTCCAACATCGAGCTCTCGCGCAGGACTTCCACACAGTTTTTCCAGGAATCGCGCTCTCGCGTGGGATTCCCTTGCACTATATATTCGGACGCCGCGCCCTCGACACTCAGGAATCAGGATCTCCTTTGGGCCTTACGGTTTTCTTTGGAATTGCGCTATCGCTTTGGCCTTCCTCATGATTGTTGTTGTTGTTGTTGTTGTTGTTGTTATTGTTGTTGTTGTTGTTGTTGTTGTTGCTGTTGTCGCTTCGCATAACCCCACCAGCTCATCCACAAACGATGCCCCGACGAGTTGCCTTGATCCCGGAGCTCAACACGGACTAGTCATGTTTTGAGAACGACCCCAAAAGAATATTAACCTGGGTTTAGCATGTTCCAGGATTATGCCAGGGTTCATAATGTCCTCCCCGGAGCATTATGAACCTGGGTTTTAATGTTCCGGGACATATTGACCGGGGTTCATAATGTTTCCCCCGGAACAGTTTAAACCTTGGTTTGTACTGTTCCGAGCATATCGACCCCAAGAAGATGTTTACTTGGGTTCATAATGTTTTGGGCATATTGGTTGGGGTTAGTAATGTTCTGGGAATATCGAACCCCGGTTCATTATTTTGGAATGATAATTATAGAGGCTGAGGGGCGTCGCCTGCGCCATAGGCGGATAATCAGAATCCGGATTTCTGATTCCGGAATGGTTATCATTATTTTTCTCCCCCAGCCCCGCGCCTCTAAACGGGGATTCATCATGTTAGAATATTGACCCTAGTCCGTTATCTCTTAGAACATCATAAACTTGGGTTCGTAAGTTTCTGGGAATAGTGAACTTAGGTTCATTGTTCTGAAATGATAATGATCTGGCGGAAAGGGGGGGCGCCTGAGAAGGAGATTGGACTGGGGTCAACCCTGGTTCAGTATGTCGGAATATCGACCCCAGATGCATTATTCGGGAACGAAAATGATCCAGGGAGGCGGGGGCCACCGATCCATCCACAGGCCCATAATCCAATGGGGGTATCATCTGAACGTAACGAACCTAGGTTTATCATTCCTGGATTTTAATCACGGTCGACGAGGATTTCGCGGCCACTCCCCATGTTTTTGGAAGATTTGACGTCCTCGCCTTTCGAGTTCCCAGCGCTTCAAAATGACCAGAAGCCCCCAAGAGTGCCCGACGACGCCCAAAGAGAGCCCAGGCACAGTCCAGAAAGCCTCCAAGATTGCCTCAGAGACTTCCAAGACGGCCCCAGAGGGGTCCAAGAGAACGCCAAGACAGGCGCCGAGACTGCCAGGAGGCCCCCAACAGGCCCCGAAGAAGCGCGAAGGGACCCCAACAGGCCCCCAGACGTCCCTCCGTCGCCATTTTGGCTCAAGCGATTCCGATCGAGGCTGTCACATCACGCGACGGCCTTGTGAGTTGTCACCCCCTGTCAGACTTCAACTCGATCAAGGAGCCCATCCAACACAATGCGTGAGGCGATCTGCATCCACATTGGGCAGGCGGGTGTGCAGATTGGCAATGCATGCTGGGAGCTTTTCTGCCTTGAGCACGGTATCCAGCCCGACGGCCAGATGCCCTCTGATAAGACGATCGGAGGCGGCGACGATGCCTTCAACACGTTCTTCTCCGAGACTGGCGCTGGCAAGCACGTCCCCCGCTGTGTGATGGTCGACCTAGAGCCCACTGTGGTCGATGAAGTACGCACGGGTACATACCGTCAGCTGTTCCACCCTGAGCAGCTCATCTCGGGCAAGGAGGACGCCGCGAACAACTTCGCGCGAGGCCACTACACCATCGGCAAGGAGATCGTCGACCTCGTCCTGGATCGGATCAGGAAGTTGGCCGACAACTGCACTGGCCTCCAGGGCTTCATGATCTACAATGCCGTCGGCGGAGGCTCCCAGATGGGGTCGGAGTAGACGGGGTCGAAGGATCGCCCGATGTGGAGGCCGATGTTCTCCACGCCGACGTCGCCGATGCATCGCCGATGCATCGCCGATGCGTCGGTGATGCATCGGCGACGCACGAGCGATGCATCGACGACGCAGTGGCGCTGCATCGACGAGGCGGGGCGATCGTCCGACCCCATGTGCTCGGAGCCCATCTGGGAGGCTTCTACTCTTCCGGCAACCAACTGCGGGAATCTCTGACGTGGGCCTCCCGGGCCCCAGCAGCGGGCCACGCCCCTCCGCCGTCGCCCGCCCCCGCCGACCGTGCCCCGCGCGCCCCTCGGGGCCCGACGGGGCTCGGCGGGGCTCGGCCGAGCCCCGGGGCGGGCCGCGGCTGCAGCCTGTGCGCGTGGCCGCGGACAGCTGGCACCCGTGCCCATGCGACCTGCATGGTCCTCGGGGGGTGCGTGTGGTCGGATTGGCTCTCGGCTCGAACGGGGGCCCTTGGATCGGAGTCCGACAGCCCTTGCCCACAGCTGCAGGGCAGCCTCCAACCGCGAGGCGCGGGCCAGCCCCCCCCCCCCTACAAGTATGAGCGCGCGTCGTCCGCTCGTCACGAGCAGCGGGCCGCACTCCTCTGCTGTCCCCCGCCTCAAGAAAAAACTCAGGGGAGGCCAGTTTCACAGAGGCAGGATTCCGTGATTTTCTAGTGGGCCTCGTTGGGTCTGAATGGACGTTGGAGGCAATTCAGGCTCCCCCGCCCGTTTCGGTGAAACTCTCTCGCCTCTCGCCCCCTGGAAGTGATATCCCGCCCCCAGAGCCCTCAGTGCGGGATCCCACCAAGATCCCAAAGCCCAATCAGATCACAACAAGACCCAACTCGGAGTCCAATTTGAGCCCAAGAGGAATGCATGGCTCGATGGTTTCGATGGTTGTCTCGGCAACGTTTGCGTGGTGTCGATGAGAACCCAAGCATGATTCCTCTTCGATGGGAACGCACTACAGGTTTCTCTTCTACATCTCTTACTCCCACCCCTCGCTGACTTATTAAGATCAATCAATTTGTGGGGTGCTATCGATATCCCTCGGCGGTTCCCCCCCTCGGAGATCAATTGATTATTTTCAGTGCTCCTGGTATCGCCCGGGGCATTCTTAGTTGCTTCTCACGGGTATTCGCTTCTCCGGTCATCCAGGATGGCCAGGGCAGGCCGAGAGTCTTCCAATAGCGCGGCTAGGACCGCACTGGCAACGACAGGCCATGAGGCTCTGAAGACGGCCTGGGGGTAGTCGCAAGACGCTGGGTCCAGCGACAAACGCCGGGAGGCATTGATCGCGCCGTTCTGCCGTGGCACGTTCTGCGCCTCTTCCAGCTCAGCCAGCGTGCAGCCTTGACTCAGGCGAGCCATCCCACTTCGCGGCGATTGTCCCTCACGTGAGCGCGCGCGCACTGAGCACCAATTGTCGCTGATCAGACGAGCAAAGACGATGGTCGAGCAACGTGACGCAACTGTTACTAGAACCTTTGCGCGCAAAGCGCGCGCGTGGTTTGATCACGCCTCAGCTAGGTCCTACAAACATATGCGCCTACATCCATACAACAGCCCGTTCATGCATAAATCCATTCGTGCATGGTTCTGTACATTCCACCGTACATAATCAAATTAATGCTTCTTTCGAGGCAGCCCGAAGACCAGACGTGGTCCAACCGTGTAGCCATCGAGTCAGCCCCACATGTCTATTGACACCGTCTTCAGAGTCGTTTGGAACCTAAGTGCGCGCGTAGCGCGCGCGTGGTGCTGGTATGTGCGTTTGCGTGTACATTGGCGTGTATACATATCTGTCACACAGTGCCATGCGGTGCACACGCGTTGATCTAACTTGTGCGTTTTGTCAGAAGCTTTCTCACACGCTATTCTGTTGCCCCTATGCGCGCGCGCCCCCCTCGTGCGCGTGCTCACGTCAACACACACACACACCTTTTTTGTTGCAACCTGTCCGCATGTTTCCCTCATGCGAGAAACACGTGTTTTCATGTCTTTCCACCGACCCACTGCCACACTCATGCGCGCTCCCTTTGAGCGGCCAAGAGCAATTGATCGGATCTTCGGCCATGCTGTCGACTGGCCACGCGCGCGCACACGTGGAGCACAGTCAACCAGCACCGCGCTGCCCTCCTACTCCGTGAAACAGTTCCATGCGGGTCACGCGCGCGCGTCGCCTAGTGCAGGCGGCGAAGCCCTGCACTTACATGTTATGTTTTGTGCCTTCCATTATGCGAAACATCGCTTCAGCACGCAGGTGTGCAGCACCATATGGGACCCAGTGGTTGTGCAATACAAGTTCTGTCAGAATTTCGGACGTTCTGCCTCCGCGCACTTCATGAACATCCTCAGCAGCACAATCGTTATCATCATCGCCAGTGTCATCGTTGCCACCGCCGTCAGCATCTCCGTCACCTTCATCGCCATTATCATAATCGTTGTCGTTACCGCCGCCGTGGTCATCAATCTCATCATTGTCATCGTTGTTGTCGTCGCCTGTTTCGTCAGCGCCACCATCAACATCACCACCCTAGGCACGGACCTGCACGACAATAGCTTTCGCGTCTTCAGTTGTGTTGTACCAACAAGTTGCGGGTGAGTGGTTGGGAAGTTTGCTCGAGGTTTGGAGTTGACGCCTGGCATTTGAGCTCACAGCTCCAAGGCCGTCACCATTAATAATAAAAATGCATCGATTTCTCTCCCTCTTTTCTGGGCTGATGTTTACCCCTCCGGTAGCGCGAGTCAGCACATGCTCGCGTATATGATCGCGGGCTTCGGGTCCTCGGGCCCCCCCCCAGATGGGATGGGTCCCAGGGTCCTCGGCCCCCCCCCCCCAGATGGGATGGGGGGGGGAGGAGGAGGAGGAGGAGGAGGAGGAGCAGGATGAGGAGGAGGAGGAGGACGACGACGACGACGGCAATGACGACGATGACGACTACGACGACGACGACGACGACGACGACGACGACGACGACGACGACGACGACGACGACGACGACGACGACGACGACGACGACACCGACGACGACGACAACGACGACGACAACGACGACGACGACGACGTCGACGTCGACGGCACCACTAGCGGCGGCGGCGACGACGTCAAGCACCAGAGCTGTCAACATGACGCCAATCCCAGCCACACGCCGCACCCACACCGCACCCACAGGGGGGGAGGGAGGGGGGGGGGGGAGGAGGGACTATGGGTACCCCGCAAAACACAGTCATCAACACACCACCACCCACACCACAATGTACAGGATGGGGGGGGGAGCCACCACGCCAAGCCCACGCCACAGGGGGGGGGGCATCGCGCGGGGGGGGGGGGGGGGGCGATGGCAATTAGCATTGGGGGGGGGGGGGCCAAACCCTCGACCATATATGGTCACGCGCACGTGTTAATGCAAGGTGCGTGTGCGGTGCGTAACATCGGGTATACTATGGTTTGATAGTCTAGCATTTGTTAGGTATGGGGTGCTATGAGCACACGTACTTACACTACCTACGCTGGGGTAGCATGTAAGCCTACATCGTATGGTTGTACGTCATGCGATACACGGCAGATTAACCGAACACATGTTCGTTCAGCATACGTTCATACAGCATGTTGCACTATCTAATGTCCTTCGGCCCACCCCGCCACTGTGCCTGGGTTGTGGGTCTGAGCCCTCTTGGATGTTCGTTGGGATCTCGTCGGGGCCCCTCGGGGGCCTCCCGAAGGCAGTTTTGAGGCCTCTAGGGGACTGTTTTGGGGTCTCTTGGGATCTCTTTTGGGCCTCTTGGTGGCCTCTTGGGGCCTCGTGGGGGCCTCCTGGGGGCCTCTTGGGGCCTCTTGGGCGCCTCTTGGTGCCTCTCCTGGGTGCCTCTTGGGGCGGAAGGCTAGGATTTTCGGTTTGTGTTCCCCGTTCCCCCTTTTGGGCTCCTCTCGGGGCCCTCTTGAGCAGTCTTGGGCGCCTCTTGGGCCGTCTTGGGGCCTTCCTGGGCCGTCTTCGGGCGTTCTTGGGGGCTTCTTGGGCCGTCTTCGGTCGGTCTTGGGGGACCTCTTGGGACGTCTTGGAGCGTCGGAAGCTCGAAAAGTTGAGAACCCCCCAAACCATTGAACAACCAGACGGAAGTGTAGCATATGCCGCTCAGACATAGAGTACGAATGAGCATTAGAAGTTCTACGGCAGGTAATCCCCGGCAGCTGGAAGCAGAGGCAGTTCGTCATTGGAGTGGGCGCCAATGTTGAAGTGGGCCAGCAGCATGACGAAGACGACCCCCTTTGCATCGGCAAAGTCGGCCTGGGCGCGAGGACGGATTGAATCAATTTCTGGCGTGGGCAACCCAACACGCGACAAATCTATTATGTGTTAATTGGCCACAGACTCAAAATAGAGTTGAACAATACAGATGTCATTGCCGATTTGATGCAAAAGAAGGGTCGCAGGGCGGTTTTTGGCAAAATATGGCAGTACGCGCGAAAGTGGAGACGGCGGAAGCCTCTGATGGTGGGGCGAGGATGGGACATGACAGCATACCGAGAATAATGCCATGTGGCACAAGCGACTGCCTTGCGCGAGGCATCCGAAGACGTCGCTTCAGTGACAAGCGCTTTTGAAGGCTGCTTCAGAATGCGGCGAAGTACGGAAGGGGGCCAGGCAAAACGAGGAAACGTCCGAGTTCATCAGACAGATACGGAAAGAGAGGAACGAATGCACCAACGCAGAAGAAAGGAAACATAAGTCACGTCGCTTGAACGGAGCTCTCCGCGACCAAATGCGGAAGAGGCAGAACGACCAGCTTGACGAGTTCATCCTCAAAGGGTCAGCGAAGAAACTACCTGGGCTCCCAAATCGGCCGAATAAAGAAACCGCAGAACCAACATCCGAGATTCAGATGGAAATCTACAATCCGGAAGGGGAGACATAGCTGAAAGTTTCGCAACATTTTGCAAGTCTTTGTATGACGCTCCGCTGGAAGGCTCCGGGGTCACCAGACCAAGCAGTAGGATCCCGGCTGCAGAAGTAAAGGCGGACGTCGCATGGATCATTTCTCGAATGAAGCGGAACAAGGATAGCGCTGAAGACTGCTTGGTGGCCGAGATGTTGAAGGGGGGCGGGAACGATATCATGAACCCCATCGCGGGGGTTTTTGCCGACTTGCTCAACGGCGTGTCCCGGGCCCCGG